CCAGCGTGACTAAATACTGAGGCTCACAGAACGCTGTTACCTGTCCCACTGAATTACCTACCTACAGGTATTTATCTACTTGTATTTGCATGCTTTCAAATTGCTAGGTAGGCAAGAGCTGGAACAAAGCAGCGGGCACTCACCGGAAGCAGCAATACTCATGACCAAATAGCTCAATCTACTATATGAAACAGCAAGCTGAGCTGGGAATTTCTACCATCATGCTTGAAACTGAGCCATTTTAAGATCATCTGCTCATTTTCTGGATGAGAATGGCTGTGTCATATGGGAGGCTAGAGTCTTCCCTGCTTGCAGATTGACCTATAAATAACCGCTTCAAGGTGCTTTCAAGAAACAAGCAAACGTTCTCCCAACTAGCAGATCTGATGTGTTCTCAGTATCTGTTCAGATACAACAGTGAACAACACGGCATTAAACCCTCACTTCCTTTGCAAGAAACCTGGAAGAATAGCACAGGGCAGTGACTCTGATCTGGTGGAAACCACACAAGCTTTTCCAAGGACACATATTCATACTTACTTACTTACTTACTTATTTATTTAAAACATTTCTATGCCGCCCCCATTGCAACAAAGCCTCGGGGCAGCTCACAATAAAAACAAACAAATGCATATAAAAACAATGTTTTTTATATCTGAAGTATGGAGGTAGGTATATTTCAATGCAACATTTGAAATGCACTGGCAGAATTTGTGAGTAGGAAGGGCTGTTTGCAAGAACTTTGAGTGCACTGTTGACTGTATGAGGTCTCTGGAAAAAATGGAAGCAGCAGGGCAAACAGCTAGCTATTAACTGTCCAGAGATAATTCAGGGTGGGTTGCCAAAAGATGATCTGGGCTGGTTTCAGCACGTGCCATCAGCACATGCCTATGGCAGCTGTGCCTGGAAGCAGGCAGGGCTGACTGAAAGCCACAGCTGCTGTTTGCTGCAAGGACATTAAGAATAGGCCCTTTAGACATTGAAACTGAATGGAGCTGTTATGCAAACTGTGCGTGGACTACTCACAGAACAGTCTGTTATATCAGCTCTGGCATTTCATGATGATGTAAAGAAGCTCTCTTCTTAAGGGTAATAAGGGAAAATACAACTTTGTTGTTGTTGAGGATGATGATGATGATGATGTGACAGACTAAAGGAGGAGTTTTTGAACAAGTACTGTACTTGGAAGAATTGAGATCTGGGAGAAGGAACTAGATATAATTATACAGCTGCTGTGCTCAGGACAATGAATCACTCATGGCATCCTAGCCAATTGAGTTAGCCAATTGCCACTTCTGTGTAGATAAAGGCACCAAGTTTTGACTGTGGATTTTTCATAATGGATGCTCTGATTAGACACTTGAATGCTGTGCAGTATCCCAACATGACATTAAAACCTAAGATAGCTGATGCAAGTTGTAAAATAAATTATACAATCTTGTAGTTTTTTGACTGTCCAGACCAAGTTGCTTGCAGCTAAAATATTACTTGTTGCCATTCAAAAGAACACCCTGCAGTTTTGAATATATTTTTATCTCTTTTTCATTGGAAATCTAGTACTATACCACAAAGGCATGACATGGATGTTATAAGGCAAACTTATGACTTCTCAGTCTAGCACAAATCCTAGTAAGTACTATGGACAAACTGCTGTTTGTCTTAACAAATGTATATGAGGAAAATGACCACTTGCACATCAAGATGCTGTTCATGTGCTTATGCTGGTTGGTGTGCTCATCCAGGTGGCTTTGTGAAAGACACCAGATGATATCTTGGAAGGATCTGGCTGAATAGTGTTCACAGAGACAGTGCTAATGCTGTCCTAAAAGCAGCATTCTTCACTAGAACTTGGCATTTCACCAGTCAGGCTCCAGCCATTCAAACACTCCAGTGTATTTGATTCAGTAATACCAAGCAAGCATCCAATACAATCAAAAACATTCCTGCTCTTTTAAGATGCCACCACAATCCAAGCAAAAACAGGAAAATTGTAAACTGCTACCCTTAATCATTGATTGCAATTGAATGAATAAACCAGTGAATGAGCCTTTGGGCATGTAAACAGCCACTTCACTTTGTACAAACCAAAAGTCAAACAGGAAGTTTTTCGTTAACCACAGATCTTTATGGACTGGGCTCATGTGATTTACTAAGCTGTGGTGACTTCAAAACCATGGTGGCTTAGTATGTCACATGAATCTAACCTGCTTCCCACAGAGTGGCAGCAAAGCCACTTTAAGAAGCCATGTCTTTGTAGTAAGGTTTACTTAACCTTCCATGGCTTAGTATGTCATCCAAACCTAGATGACATGCTACGCCATGGTCAAGCCAAAATACTTCAGAGCTACTTGGCCAGAATGGTAAAAAGTCTTGCTGCTCTAGCCAAGCAGCTGTGATCAGCTTCCCCACCCCATGCTTTTGCTGATGCCAGGAGAGCAGTACAGCTGCCAAAAGCACCATGCCAACTAAGGGAGGAGCCCCAGTCACTTAGTGAGGCCACTGCTTAGGTGAGCAAGAATGCAGAATGGGCTGCATTGTGCTTGCTTTCTCCTCAAGAAAGCTGAGTGCAACATGGCTTGCTCAGTATGACCACTGTTCACTTGAATGGCAGTTGTGCCAAGTATGGGCAGGGGGACAAGTCATACTGTTTTTGTCTTCCTCTTGATGGGGTGAAGTGCAGTGCAGCTTCCCACCCCAACTCTGCCCCCTCTGCCCTGTGCTCCTGCTCATGCTAGGAGAGTGAGACTGAGCTATTCCACTCTCCCAGCATTAGCAGGAATATGGGGTGGGAAAGCTGTTGGTAGCCACTGGAAATAACTGACTGGACATTTTTCAGCAGCTGTCATCCTTGCTTTACTAGCCTAAGTTTTCCTGATGTTGTCTTCTGGGCCACCTATGAGGAGAGCAGAGTGGGAAGAAAGAGCCTCAGGATCCCCACTAAGCCTGATTATTTGTCAGGGAGAGTAGGGACTCCATTCTATTTAATGTGCGGTTTGAATGAGGCAGCTATAGTTACTAGCTTCAGAAAAATAAACAATTAAACCAACTTCAGACTGTGGTTTAATATTCTGGCTTGTAAAATTAATAACTATAGTTTCTTGTTTCAAATGTACTTGTAAACTTCAGTTAATGAATACTTCCTTGTTTGCTTTTGGCTTATGAAAAGGGAAGAGTGAGTCAGCTGTATATGTGTCCAAAGACAAGATCATTTGAACCAGGCCATTGTCTTGGTTGGTGCACATTTGGTGACTGCACATACAAGATTTTTACAAGGAATTCATTATACTAAGAGATTGGAAATAAACGTTTTCCAGCTACCTATTAGAAGGGAAGGGAAGTGCTTCCACAGGTATCTAAAAATGATCACTTCCATTCCAAGTAATCTTGTAAACTGGAGTCTAGAGCGTATATGGATTATAGACTTCTTTCAGATGATGCTTTTCCAACTGTGCAGTTTGTCCAGCAAGCCAGTCAAAAATTTTAGAGCCATGTCAATGGCCCAGAAGATTTCTAAATTCTCTGCACATCTTTATTTAGAATGATAGATGTAGTATTTCATGTTATAAGGGTTAAGTATACTGAGCCACACAGTTGTAGCTATCCTCTTTATCACTAGGAAGATTCAATTCTGTTGTTTTTTCCGGGCAGAAAGGTAGTGTGGAGAGAGAATAATGATGGGTAGGGTGATTTTGGTCACACTTCAGGTCAGCCTCACATCTATCTCTATCAGGAAAGATGAGCAGAGAACAATAGACACCACTGTCAGGTGGCTCTTCCCATTGTGCAAAGAAGGCCTGTGGAAAAACCACCTGGGTGAAACCTGGCCAGTGTTATTCCCTCTGCCTTTGCCACTGCCTTTTCTTCTGGGAGAAGGCTGGCAAAGTGACAAGTTGGATAAGACTGGATGGAGAGGTCTTGAGTTCTTCTCAAGAGTTTTATCCGGCCAGCTGTTTTCCCACTGGCCTTTGCCCAACAGGCAAGACCCATTGCTGCCTGGAGGCACCCTGATGGTAGCATCCAACTTTCTTTGCCCACCTTTCCTGCTCTGGAACAGGAAAAGGCAACAAGAGGCAGGAAACAGTTTTCCACTTTGACCCCATATGCCTGGCTTCTTTCATGCTCACTCTCCAGAGGACAGTGCCAAGCTTGAGCAGATTTATTGAAGCTAGACCATGGGAAGAGTAGTTTTGTTCATCTGGTGCCAGACATATGACAGCAAGAACATCCTAAAATTAAGAAATTTACTGTTGCATGACATTCACTCTTTTAATCACACATAATGAAATGTCAAAAGTATTTATCACTTTTGCTTACCCTTGTTCAAATAATTAATCCATAAAATCATGTATAAGGAAACTCTCTAGCAAATACTGTGGAATCTTCCTAATTCTATTTTTTCAAGTTCCTAGCTATTTAGTTACTGAAGGTGCACCTCTCAATGCTGATAAGCCTCTGAACCCAGTGCAGAGTAGCAGGCACAACAGAGGTGATCTCCCTGTTCTCACACCTCCAGCTCTGCAATTTTGCTGGACAGCTGATTTTAGCCATCTAGCTTAGGAGGGGGATGGAAAAAAACTAGAACATCATCAGGATACATTCTATCTTACTGGTACAGTTTCCATCCTTCCCCGCCCTGCCACCTTTACTCCATCTCTGGGGTCACCTTCATGACCTTGGAGAAAAGGTTTGGTATGGCTCTTTCTATGCCAACTGCAAGGGGAGAAGGGAATCAGAATGTAGATCCTCAGCTCCAAGCTCAGAAAGGAGACCCCCTGTGTTGAAATTTGCCATAAAGCTGAGTTGGATGATTTCGCTAATCAGTCTTCTTGGAGTGGCAGGATAAAATGTGAGATGTGTATGGAAAACTTGTATGAGATATGACTAAAACAATTTTCAGTGAAAACCAGATGACATCCTTGTGAGGACTACTCCTCTTTTTGTGATGTCTGGAAAGAGTTGCTTAATTACTTGCTTAATTACTGGCTCTGCTTTTGTTATAGATGGTGAGTGTTGTGCCTGGTGATCCTCCTCAGACCCACTAGCCATGCCAGGGATTGTGGTGTTCCGTCGTCGCTGGTCTGTGGGCAGTGATGACCTTGTGTTGCCAGCCATCTTTCTCTTCCTCCTTCATACCACTTGGTAAGTGAAAATGTGTAACTGAGAAGAAAATTTCTGTGAGTCTATGCTTTCATTTCCAGATATTGCTAATATCCTGCTTCTTCTATTTAAAAATGCAGTTCAAAATGCTACATTTATACTGCATGCTAGCAAGGGCTTAAATGAGAGAAATGGATCCAATAAAAGGATGTCTATATAAATGTATAATGCATATCTATATGCATGTATACTTATGTGAGTATTTGTATGAGTGTGAAATATATCCCTCAGTAAATGTGTTAGAGAGCTGAAACTCAAGTAAACCCAAGAACATACTGTATTAACTAGTTTTAGAATAGCAGCAGCAAAATAGCTGTGTTGTTGTTACTCGCGAAGACGTGTCTGACCCATTACGACCCCGTGGACAACATTCCTCCAGGCCTTCCACCATCCCCCAGAGTCCACTTAAACTCACACCGACTGCTTCAGTGACTCTATCCAGCCACCTCATCCTCTGCCGTCCCCTCCTTCTTTTGCCATCTATTGTTCCCAGCATTAGGCTCTTCTCCAGGGAGTCCTTCCTTCTCATTAGTTGGCCAAAATATTTGCGTTTCATCTTCACTATCTGGCCTTCCAAAGAGCAGTCAGGGTTGATCTCCTCTGGGACTGACCGGTTTGAAAGGCCTGCAGTCCAAGGGACTCTCAGGAGTCTCCCCCAGCACCACAATTCAAAGGCCTCAATTCTTTGGCGCTCAGCCTTCCTTATGGTCCGACTTTCACAGTCATACATTGCAACTGGGAAAACCATAGCCTTGACTATACGCACTTTTGTTGGCAGGGTGATGCCTCTGCTTTTTAGTATGCTGTCTAGATTTGCCATAGCTTTCCTCCCCAGGAGCAAGCATCTTTTAATGTTTTGGCTACAGTCCCTGTCTGCTGTGATCTTGGAGCCCAGGAAAATAAAATCTGTCACTACCTCCATTTCTTCCCCATCTATTTGCCAGGAAGTGAGTGGACTGGATGCCATGATCTTAGTTTTCTTAATGTTGAGTTTCAAGCCAACTTTTGCGCTCTCCTCCTTCACCCACATCTAGAGGCACTTTAGTTCCTCTTCACTTTCTGCCATGAGAGTGGTATCATCTGCATATCTGAGGTTGTTGATATTTCTCCTGGCAATCTTAATTCCAATTGGTGATTCATCTAGCCTGGTCTTTCTCATGATGTGCTCTGCATACAAGTTAAATAGATAGGGCAGCAGTATACTGCCTTGCCAAACTCCTTTCTCAATTTTGAAGCAATCAGTGGTTCCATGTTCAGTTCTCACTGTTGCTTCTTGATCCGCATATAGGTTTCTCAAGAGACAAATAAGATGGTCAGGTACTCCCATCTCTTTAAGAACTTGGCACAATTTGTTGTGATCCACACAGTCAAAGGCTTTAGCATAGTCAATGAAGCAGATGTTTTTCTGGAACTCCCTAGCTTTCTCCATGATCCAGTGTATATTGGCAATTTGATCTCTAGTTCCTCTCCCTCTTCGAAATCCTGCCTGTACTTCTGGTAGTTCTCGGTCCACATACTGCTGGAGCCTAGCTTGTAGGATTTGGGGCATTACTTTGCTAGCATGTGAAATGAGTGCAATGGTGTGGTAGTTTGAGCATTCTTTGGCATTGCCCTTCTTTGGGATCGGAATGTAAACTGACCTTTTCCAATCCTATGGCCACTATGAGTTTTCCAAATTTGCTGACTTATTGAGTGTAGCACTTTTACTGCATCGTCTTTTAAGATTTTGAATAGCTCAGCTGAAATACTGTCTCCTCCATTACCTTTGTTGTTGCTCAGACTTCCCAAGGCCCATTTGACTTCACATTCCAGGATGTCTGGCTTAAGGTCAGTGACCACCCCATCATGGTTATCAGGGACGTTAAGCTCTTGTACAGTTCTTCTGTGTAATCTTGCCACCTCTTCTTAATCTCTTCTGCCTCTGTTAGGTCCCTGCCATTTTGGTCCTTTATCATGCTCACCTTTGCATGAAATGTTCCCTTCATATCTCCAATTTTCTTGAAGAGATCTCTGGTCCTCCATATTCTATTGTTTTCTTCTATTTCTTTGCACTGTTCATTTAAGAAGGCATTCTCATCTCTTCTTGCTATTCTCTGGAATTCTGCATTCAATTGGGTGTATCTTTCTCTTTCTCCCTTGCCTTTCTCTTCCCTCCTTTCCTCAACTATTTGTAAAGCTTCCTCAGACAGCCATTTTGCTTCCTTGCATTTAGGGATGGTTTTAGTTGCTGCCTCTTGTACAATGTTGCGAACCTCCGTCCATAGTTCTTCAGGCACTCTGTCTATCAGATCTAATTCCTTAAATCTATTTGTCACCTCTACTGTATATTCATCAGGGATATGATTTAGGTCATACCTGAGTGGCCTAGTGCTTTTCCCTACTTTCTTCAGTTTAAGCCTAAATTTTGCAACCAGAAGCTCATGATCTGAGCCACAGTCAGCTCCTAGTCTGGTTTTTACTGACTGTATAGAGCTTCTCCATCTTTGGCTGCAGAACACATAGTCAATCTGATTTCTGTGTTGACCATGTGGTGATGTCCATGCGTAGAGTCATCTCTTGGGTTGTTGGAAAAGAGTGTTTGCTATGATCATCTATCCTCTTGACAAAATTCTACCAGCCTGTGCTCTGCTTTGTTTTGTACTCCAAGGCCAAACTTGCCTGTCATTCCAGTTTTCTTTTGGCTTCCTACTTTAGCATTCCAATCCCCCATGATGATAAGGACATCATTTTTGGGTATTAATTCTAGAAGGTGTTGTAGGCCTTCATAGAACCGGTCAACTTCAGCCTGTTCAGCACCAGTGGTTGGGGCATAGACTTGGACTACTGTGATGTTGAAAGGTTTGCCTTGGATTCGAACTGAGATAATTCTGTCATTTTGGAGATTGTATCCCAGTACTGCTTTTCCTACTCTTTTATTAACTATGAAGGCTACTCCATTTCTTCTGAGGGATTCTTGCCCGCAGTCTGATGGTCATGTGAATTAAATTCACCCATTCCTGTCCATTTTAGTTCACTGATTTCTAAGATGGCGATGTTCAGTCTTGTCATCTCTTGTTTGACCACATCCAGCTTGCCTTGATTCATAGATCTTACATTCCAGGTTCCTATGGAGAATAGATCTTTGCAGCATCAGACTCTTCTTTCACCACCGGATACATCTGCAACTGAGTTTCCTTTCGGCTTTGACCCAGTCGCTTTATTCTTTCTGGTGCTACTAGTACTAGCCCTCTGCTCTTCCCCAGTAGCATATTGGACACCTTCTGACCTGAGGAGCTTATTTTCTGGCGTCATATCTCTTTGCCTTTTGGTACTGTCTATGGGGCTTTCATGGCAAGGGTACTGGAGTGGGTTGCCATTTCCTTCTCCAGTGGATCACGTTTTGTCAGAGCTCTCTGCTATGACCTGTCTGTCTTGGGTGGCCTTGCACGGCATAGCTCATAGCTTCATTGAGCTACGCAAGCCCCTTCGCCACGACAAGGCAGTGATCCATGAAGGGGAAAGTAGCTATAATCAGATGTAAAATAGTGATAGAACTAAGGAAATATTGAACATTTGTATTAATAAGTATGTGGGTTAATAACTAGGTGGGTCTTCTGACCCTTTCAATCAAAATTATCATACATACATATATGTACCAGTTTTGGCAACTTCTGTAGATCACATTCTTTCAGACAAATGTATGTATTCTTATACAACTGTATTCCAACAGTAGCAATGAAGAGGAATGCTCAGGGTATTTCTGTGTAGCTAACATGGTTTTGTAATGCTGTCAGAGAGGCAGCCAAAAATGCTGAAATTATTTCCAAGTCAGCTGAAAGAATTTTAAAACAGGCAATAACAGTAATCTTATTACAATAAGACAACTAGAAGTAGAACTTGTCTGTAGAGCCATAATGAAAAGTTCTTAATAGGTTATTAAAATCTGAAACCAAAACTGCTCAGATGGTGTTCTCACAGAATCAATAGAAAATTATTTTAAAAAGAGGTAGGGTTGCCAATCTTAGTGCAGTGAGAGCCTTGTATATGAAAATGCATCCTGGACCAAGACCATTGAGGATTGATAGTGTGAAAGCAGCACTTTAAATTACACTCAGAAACTAATGCAAGGCCAGTGCTGTGCTTTCAGCTCATCCCCACTGATAATATTTTTCACCTTTTTTTTGTTCTTCATTGATTTGCTTGATTTTAAAACTGCTATTCAGGATAAATTATCTTCCAATGTCAATGACCTGGTTTGCTCATAACAATAGCACATCAGCCTCTTCTGCTTTAGTGCACAATTCATGATCAGTTCCTGCAAATGCTGTGTGGCATGATATTTAAATCCAGAGTGCTGGGTTGTTTAGGGGCTATAAAACCCAGCTGTCAATCTTTTTTTGCTTCCTCCTGCTAAAGCAGTTGAACATACTAAAACTTGCTACAGACAGTATACCTGCACATTCCATACAACAATGGGTTTTTAAAGTGATGTTTTGTTGTTATATACAAACAGCCTCACTAAAGGCTTTTTTAAAAGAAGGAGTATAAATGCATAAATGAGTATTTGGATCATTAGATGTTTCTGAATAGTAATAGTAACCCAGCCAGGAGGTGACCTGACAGTGGCCAGGTTGTATAGAGACAACAGCTTAGGTACACCAACGTAGGCTGAGAAAAGAACTTGCATTCTCAGTCCAAGTTGGAATTTCCATATTGGTTTTTGGAACTTCTGGAAGAGGACTCTTGTTTTTGATTTTTAATTTTGGCATAGCTGATTTCTGTTTTGGCCTTCTGATGATATCCATGTGTATGGTTGCCTCATGGGTTGCCTGAAAAATGAGTTGGTTGGTTTCACAGTATTCTATGAGTCACTCTTCTGCTTTGTTTCCTACTTTTGTGTTCCAGTCACCTATTATTATCAGCATGTCTTGTTTTGGTGCATTACCAATGTCCTCCTAGACAGTATCATGAAAGTTTTTGATGTCTTCAACAACATCAGTTGTTGAAGCATAGGCTTGAATGATGGTGATGTTGATGGTTTTCTGAAATTTCTGAGCAATAGGATTCAGTCGGACTTTGCATTTTAATCCCTTACTGCCTTTGTTACATCTTGCCTCAGTGTTAGATCCACTCCATTTCTTCTGAGGGTGTCTTTTCCAGAGTAAAACACTTTGTGTTTGATTGACTGAAAACGTGCCATTCCAGTCCACTTCAGTTTGCTCCCACCAAGTGCTATGATGTGGAACCATTCCAATTTTTGCTGTACAGTTTCCGATTTGCCTTGATTCATACTTCACACTGTCATGTTGCAAGTGTATGTGCCGTGCAGCATCAGCCTTTCCTTTGGCCACTAGACTTTCTTGCATCCTAGGCCTTGTTGCATCATTAGCAACAGTGCTATTTGTACTTGTCCTTTCCTCTTCCCCAGTAGGTGGTTGAGTGCCTTCCAACCTGGGAGCCTTATCTTCTGGCACTATCTTTTGTTTCATTTTAGGGTTTACAAAGCAATAAAATCCAGAAATGGGTTATGAGTGCCGCCTCCTGCTCAGTAGAGTTAGCTTGAGTATCCGTGGGGTTATGTGTGAAAGATCCTCCACTGGTGTTGCCTTCAACTACCAGTGCTGCCCAATAGCTTTCTTTCAGAAATATCTCTGCTCCCATCACCATTAGACATATTCATTCTCTTCTGTTGATGTAACTGTTACTCCTGAAGAGGGTGGATGCATCCGAGTCTGAGTATGAATGACCCTGCTTGGAGACTGGCCTAGTGAGCATGTCTGTCCTCCTGTTGGCCTTGCTCTTGGCTTCTCTGACACTTTCAGACTTCCTGATCATGTGAAGCAGTGTGTCTAAGAGGGGACATTTACTACATAATAACTTAAGTTAATAAATAAATAACACTTTCCTTTTTCTCACATGTGTGCTTCGCTTGATTTTGTGGTGGCACGCTGCTTCCAGGACTGAGATGTTTTGCCTGTATTGCACTGGGATTCTTTTGTTTTACGCAGGTTTCTAACCCTCTTTTAGCTACCAGCCTCTGCGTTGTACAAGATTTTGTAAATATTGGTGTGATTCATCATTGTCATCACCATTAATCTTTTCCCATTTATTTATTTGCTATAGCCACAGGACACCTGAATTAATACATCACACATAAAACAACACAACAAATACAATTATCAAACAAAAATGTATATCAGTTACCTTCACAAGATACATAAAATGCCACAGAGCATATAAAATCATAAGCATTTTTTAAAAATTAGGACTCACAGATGTATCGTAGGGTTCTGGTTGATTGTGCTAGATCTCTAAGGCTTTCTGATTCCCAATTGCTTGATAGCATCAGTGACAAAATGAACATACATCCCCTGGACTATACTATTGAAATAAAGGAGTAACAAAAAATAGATTCTTGTGTGGAAAGACTGATTTCCTTTCAGTTCTGATACTCAACGAACTTCCTGTTGAACCAGTCTCCAACTGATGGATCTCACATTTTTAGAAAATGAAAATAGATCCTAGAAGCCCAAAGTCTGCCCTTCCCTGATCATATTGAAGTCAGCGGTGTTCTATTGTGTTCTGTTGTATTATGTGTGCTTGCATGTTTGTAATCCACATGTTGTTAGGCATCTTCCCGGAGGGCAAGCAAATTAATGGAGGCTTTCTGTGATAGCTAAACTGTTTTAACTTTTATAATGTAGGCATGCTCCCATATATAATGTATATATCATAATATTGGCAAGCATGGTGAATACCGTATTAGCAAAGGAACATTATAATTTTGGTGTTGGCTTTGAACAGTGTGTGTCTGCTACATTTACTTCTGCCCTCTGGTGTCTACTGAAAGATGTACAAGCTTTAATTATTCTCATTTCCAGACCTCCTAGCCACAATGGAGAAGTAGATAAGTCTCTTTAAAGGGATTGCAGCCCCTTTTTTTCTTTCTGTTGTTGCAGAAAAACAGTGTGCTGGGATGCTTTCCAGAAAACTGAATGTGGGTGGAAAAAATCCTTCATAGCTAACCACCAGCATTTTACTATCAGAGCAGTATCTAAATCTATAACATAAATAGATGGATGACATTAGTAAAGCACAGGTTTGTCACTGATAAAATGTGATATTTGCCTGTATTCTGAGAAATCCAGAGCTACCTGTATACTGATGGTAGTCTCTTTGTGCCTAACTCTAGAAACCCTGTCATATTTTACTGTTTAGACAGTAACAAGATATTAATGTGGTGGAAAAAAATAAAAGTTCTAGAACTCCAAAGAGGGTAACTGGTTTATTATGGGAAGAGCTTTCATAGGCAATAGTTCATTTCAATTAGATGCATGAAAGTTTAAATACACTCAACTACTTATATTAAGGAACACCCTTCCCAAAGGGCTGTGTTCAAAACGTTACCAAAATGCAAGACTGCTATTCCCATTTTAAATCTTTTTAATTATGAATATGCTGTCTCATGATGTATCAAGGGAATGTTGTATGTGTCTTGTGTGTGGTAGGTTTATAATCCTTTCTGTGGTGCTCTTCGGACTGGCATACAATCCCAATGAAACCTGTTCTCTCAACTTGGTGGACCACGGCAGAGGCTATCTGGGTATTTTGCTCAGCTGCATGATCGCAGAAGTCGCAATCATCTGGCTCAGTATGCGGGGCAGCATCCTGTACACAGAACCCCGGGATTCAATGCAATATGTGCTGTACGTCAGACTGGGTAAGAGGCAGTGATGCCCAGGGAACTTACAAATATTTGATTTTATTGTAACCATCTGTCATGCTCTTAAAGAATTCTCCCTTCAGTACGTAAAGACTGACTCTGAAAATTGAGTTGACCTTCAAGCCACTTCAGAATATACATATTGCCAAGGAGAGTATATTCTTCCAGAATTTTTGTTGATCTTAAGGGAGCAATCTTATGGTCCCTAGACTGTTTGAAGGGCCATAGGGTAGTTCAGATTCTATCCTCCAAGGTTGGAAGCAGCATTCCAATTTCAGAGTGAGGTATTAGAGATCTGATCCCCTTCCCCCATACAGCTGGCATGGAAAGAATTTCACCAGAAGCCCTCTAAAGTCAAAGGAAGGGAAGAGACTGGAGAGGCCAGGACGCAAGTTGTGCAGCAACCCACCCAGTCTCCTCTTTTCCTCCAAAATGCCCCAGCTACATAAGTGGAAAAAGCAGAATGGGAGAACAGGAAAAGAAAGATTGCCTCCATCCCTCCTGCCCTGCACAGGATAACACAGAATTCTTCATGGTTTCTGTGGATCATATATATGGGTTCTGTGCCTGCGTGAGGCCTGTTGTTGGAATATTTTCATAGCTGTGCTCAATTTTTGGCAGAAGCCCTGCCTCCTTTCCCTCTCTAGTATAAGTAGGAGGGGTTTCCACCTTTTTTCCTAGTTCTTTTCAAACACTGTTTTGGGTGCCTCAGGTTTCTAGCTGTCCGTGTTCCTTCACCTTCCTCCTTACTTACAACTTCTACCTATTCTTTCTTTGATTTCATACTCACTTTAATCTGCCCTTATCTCCCGCCTCCCAAGAACCCTTCTACTGCCCTTCTTTTTCTACTTACCTTTTCTTCTACCCCTCCCCATTGGCCCTCAAGGCAACTTTCTGGAAATGTGTCCATTGTGGCACACAAATGCCCTCTACAGATGGCATTGTCTTTGCCTGTTTTGCTTTGAAGAAGACCACCGAATGGACTCTTGCCCCACTCACTGCAAGGCTTTTACTTGTGCCAGGCTCACAAAAATTGAGTTGGACAGCTCAAGAATGAAATGTGGAGCTGTACCCTTATGGCAGTATAATCACTCACTGCTAAGCCTCAGGATTGCTGTTTGACCTTGCGGGCTTCTGCCTCCTCTCTTGGTCCATCAGTGGCTGCTGTGGCTCCACCAACTGCTTCATTGGTTCCCACAAAAACCAAGCATCCACATGATGAAAAGAAGTTGAAAAAGTGGATGAACAGGTTCCACAAAATAGCAATTGACACTAAGATGGCAGCCAAAAATGGTTAAGAAATACCCCCAGAGCAGGCCCAACACCAATTGTCATTGGAACCCTCAGTGCGCATTCAGTCTCCTTTTCCACCAGTGGCCTTGGCTACCATATCAATGCTGGCCCCACAACCAGTCTTGCCACCAACTCCCCCACAAGTCTCAACACCAGCTCCTCTATCAGGCTAAAGGGCATGAGCAGAACTGACTGCGCTGCACTCCTTCTCTAAAGGGGAGATACAGGACATATCACCCCATACCCTGGCCTATTTCTCCACCTAGATCTGTCAGCTCCTCATGTTGAGATGAAGAGCTGCCTTTCCCATTTTTCTACCCAGCCACTGGACTACCATACAGAACCTTTTCTCTGGCTCTGTCCCAGAACTCCACATGTTGGCTGATGGGACAGCCCAGGTCCCCATCAGCAACCTGTGACCAGGAAGACTGCTCGGCCCTGCCACCACCAACGGCACCTTACCATCCCAGCTACCCTTGGGGATGGAGGCCTGTGGACCCATGGCACTACCAATATAATCTGTGTACCACCTGGAGGAACCATGGGCCCTATTATCTTCAGAACAGCTTGGACCTTCCAGCCTCCTGCTCCTGTCTGTCCATCATCTTGATAGGCCACCACAAAGACCGTCTTCATCATCCAGCCATTCTTCATCTTCAGACCCTGCTGATTATGCCTCCAGATCTGATCTACCTTCAATTTATGACGTGCTGGTGTCAGCCTCACCAAACAACAAGGTCTGGGATCCCCCTCCAAAGACCTGGGAAGGTTCTCAAAACTAGTCCCCTGAATGGTGATGTCACTTGGACTGGAGACTCAACTGCTCACTGAGTCTCTGGTAGACCTAGTATATGATGTTATCATAGAAAGATGTGACTTGATGCAAAAGCAAAGAGGGTCTATACAGTGATGGGACTGGGCCTTTGTATCTCCAATTACAAACCAAGTTTCTTCCCAAACAGCACTGGGAATTGGCTTGGATATTCCAGGGGCTCTTTGACTCTCCAGGCAACAAATAAACACTGCATGTCACTATGCTGACTGTGACTCTTGGACCTTCATTAGCGCAGTGGGGATTCAGAGGCATGCCTGGCTCCAGGCAGTGAGCCTCTTACAGGAAGCATGGTCCTAGATTGAGGAAATGCTCTTTGACAGGGAGGGGCTCTTAAATATGTAGACCAATGAGAATATTAATGCCATACAGTAGGCCAGAATGACAGCAAGGAGGATGGGCTTTGGTCCAGTAAGTGGCTTTGGGGCTCATTTTCTTTCCAGAGCCAAACCCACTTCAGCCACCATTCCCACCAACAACTCCAGCAACGCCATTGCAGTGCCTCTTGGTTTCAGCAAACTAGCAAAGAGTGCCGAGATATCAAGTTATGCCACCACTGACTCAGTCCATCTCATTGGCCCCAGAATGGTTCAAAGTCTGCCTTGAGGATTACCTTCCTGAATGGGAAGCCATAACATTGGATTGGTGGGTTCTCTCCATCATAGAGAATGAATGCCAAATTGAATTCAACACTCTACCACTGCTCGGGACTGTATGCACCACACCGGCATGCACTACACCTACTTTCCTCACCTTAATGGAAGAGCTCACCACATCATTGTTGAAAGGAGTGATCCATCCCATTCCTCCATCCAACCTCAATTATGGTTTCTACTCCTAGTATTTCATTGTTCTGAAGAAGGAAAGTGGTCTCTGCCCCATCTTAGACCTGCGAGATGTAAACTTCTTCATCCCACACAAGTTCCACATGGTCTCTCTGCAAAATCTTCTCCCACTACTGCATCAAGGGGGCAGGTTTGCATCAATTGATTTGAAAGACTCTTATTTCCACATGTCCATTCATCCAGACTACTACCAGTTCCTGAAGTTCCAAATCAGAAGTGAGGCATTTGAAGTTTTGGTCCTACTGTTCGGCCTCTCCATAGCCCCATGGGTGTTACCGAATGTATGGCCATAGTATGTATGTACCATCTTCAGCTCCAAGGGATCCAAATTTTCCCATACCTGGATAATTGGCTACTGTTCATCCCATCCCAGGAGGATCTATTGAGCTCAATTTGGGAATCATGTAATTTCTTGGGCAGATTGGAATTCTGTATTAATGAGAAATCTCTGCTTGTCCCTTCCCAGTCAATCCTGTACATCAAAGCATGCCTGAATTCAGTGACAGCTGAATTCAGTGACAGCTTGAGCATACTTCCCTCCGGATAATGTATCAACCCTTATTGCCTCAGCACTCTCCAGTGATGACACTGTCCACCTCCATAATGGGGTAAGCTTACTAATCACCTGTATGTGTGATGCACAGAGACCATGAAGAAGGAGGTAAGGTTACTTACCTGTAACTGATGTTCTTTGCATGGTCATCTGTGCATTCACACAATCCACCTACTGATCCCACGTTTATGTTGACAACCTTCCATCCCTAATACAGACCCTTCCTTCCCAAATCCTTGCCATTTTTAGTGTGGATTATACCATTCTCGATCCAATTCCCAGTTCTGAGACCAAAACGTTGGTCTCATTTGAACTGGGGGAAATGGCAGGAGCTGCTCCTATTTATACTAGTGAGAGAGGGGGTGAGACTCCTGCCAAAAATTGAGCTTAGCTAGGGAAATCTTCCTGACTACAGGCACCATGCAAGCTCAGAGCCCATGTGCGTGATGCACAGATGACCACTCAAAGAATGTCAGCTACAGGTAAGCAACCTTACTTTTCTAAGCTCAAGGCTTAAGATCATCAAGGGAGTAATCCAATTTCTGAATATCCAAGGACAGTTTTTAGCTCGGCTTTATTTCCTGTGAATGCTGATAGCCAGGAAAGAGCCATTTAGAGATCTAGTAATTTTTTTCACTTAATTTACAGATGTGGGAAAGACAACAATCTTATTTTTGCTAATTACCCTCATGAAGCCTGCATCAGTCAGTCAACGTTTCATTATACAGTTGCAGAACCATCCATTGCATCAATTTACCCTGTGTAAAGTGTTCTGTAAACTTTTTCTGTTTTAATTTTTTGGATCTCTGCCAACTTCTCATCTTATTAAATGAAGTAGTAGCTTACGTATCACTTCATTTGCCATCTTCCCAGCAATGCATGTGCTCAATGCATGTACTGAGAAAGGGGCATACAATTTGGCATATTTCTTTCTAATAAGCTTTTACATTGCCATCTAGAAAACCGCAGCAATAGCATTTAATGGTTATTCTTTTCTATCTGCCCTGATACTTGATTTGCAAAAATGTAATACTTGCTGTAGTACACCCACTGCCAAACTTAGACCGCATCTGCCAAACTTGCCCTGCCTTTCTCACCAGGAATCCTATGTAGGTACTGACTACTTAAAAGTTTCTCTTCCATTGATATGTGTAGGGGAACTGCTTTGTCTTCAAAAGAACATACAATCTCATCATGCAGTTATTGGCATAGCACCCAGATTTTCAAAAAATGATAACATGCGGGGTAGGTGGGATTAAAAATAGGCATTGCTTTGGCACATCTTTTAAACTGGTCGTTCATTCATATCACATACAAAAATAGACATGTGGATGGCTTGTTGTCTCACCCTGGGACAAATATTTTTATTAGAATTTGTAAAGAATATTCAACACAAGGCATCAAGCCAATTTTAAACATTTTGAGAGGTCAGCATATTGCTTCGTATAATGTAATGACTTGTTTCTTGAATGTATTGTTCATGTTAAGAAAGGAATTATCCCCTTTCTGAATGCTATGTTCACAGTGTTGACAAACGTCTTTTTTCTTAGGTCTCATTTGACATAGCCACACCTACCTTAAAATGTTTGATAATTCAAATCTAGAATTTAAGTCAGAGCTGGAGTAGTGGTGGTTGGAGTGTGTGACAGAGGGAATGCAAGGAAAATGCAAAGCACCATCCTAGAAAAGTGCATAAAAATCTTTGTGCATTCTCACTTTTCCTTTTAATAAGTGCCTGTATATCATGCTATCTTGGAAGCTACTTTTGCACTCCCACTGTTTCTAAAGAAACTTCTTGTGTATCATGCTGTTTGGCACATTTTGTTAAAAAACAAAAACCCTCCCTGCCTTCTGCATGCATGCCTGTGCACATGAAGGGGCTCATATTTTTCTCCTTTCCGTGCCTTTGAGGCAGCACTTTTCTGAACGTTAGGAGGAAGTACCACTGCCTGTATAGGAAGCATTTTGTATTTTATGACTCAAGGCTAGAGCAATGTTTCATTGCTTTTCTGTGGATGAGAATAGCCCCTTTACTGTATTTGGTTGTGTGCAGATACTGATTTGTGTAGAGCCTACACCCAGAAATGATAGTTTTGATAGTACATGTATAATTGGAGACACAACAGGGAATGGCAGGGAGAGGTGCGCAAAATCAGAGGTCTCCTTTCCAGAAAAAATGTAGCCTCTGGTTTAATTAATTTCAGTCCTATGGGAAATTAAAAGCCAAACCATTCTGTAATAAGTTATGCAGTGGGTAGGTGTGCATGTCATGCCAGCCCACCTTGACAATAAACTACTGTGGGTTAGTTGTTGAGAGAACAATTCACAGTTCAGCCATCAGACGACTGGCCTTACTGTGAGTTGTCACCCCTTCTTCCACCTCAGTCTTCCAGCCAGCAGCTCAGGGCAACTGAAACTCCAGTTGCTCTCTCCAACGCTACTGGGAGCCATTTTGGTTCACTCCATTTCCCCCTGCTTTTTCTGTTTCATTTCATTTCATTTTGCAGAGATTGCTTTGCCATTAACTTTTGTTAATGTATCCTTTAAAGTTACTAATAAGGATCCTGTCTGTCTGTCTGTCTGTCTGTCTTTCTTTCCATCCTTCCGTCCTTGCACTTTAATTTGTCTCACCTGCTGTCAGAAGTTGAATTGTCAGTTCAAAGCAAAGATGCAAGTGCTCTTTGCTTGAAAAACAGAGGAGGAAGTATTTATCCCAGTTTGGTACTGGCATTCTTAGAGTTTTTTGTGTTCCTCTGATAGCTTCCCACGCTCCCAACTAATATCATTGCCTGCATACCTGTGAAAAGAACACAGGGAGCCTTGTGAGGAGGGAAGACTTTTAAAAGGAACTGTAGATTTGACAGGGGTAGGCTGAATTTGTCCATCTTTCTAAGCACCTAAAGTCTCAAAAGACTTCGATTTTTAAAAAGATGATTGAATGGAATATAATAAATGGAGCCCCATCAAGTAGTGTGAATAGCACTAGCGTCCCATGTGCAAGGAATGTTTGCACATTCTTTGACCCAGAAAAAAATATATGCTCATTTGGTGGCTGAGAAGGAAATGGAGGGGAATTTAGCCTAAATTTAAGTGTTGGGAAATAAATATAGAGAAAATTTGTACACTGCAGGAACAAATCCCAGTCATTCATTCATTCATTCAAGATATTTATATGCCATCCTGTCACAAAAACCTCAGGATGGCTTACACAAAATTATTAATTATATGTTAATAATTTCTGTGGGGGTTTGAATGGTCAATGGACTGCAGTAACTGCAGTAGTAAGTGTTTTGAAAAGAAACTCAGAAAGGGGCATGGGTTAGGATCTCTGTTATCTGATCTAGCTGAAGATTTGGGAAAGTGCTGAAAAGGTGGAGGACATTGAGAACTGTCAGTTCAATACTTAAAGGCCAGAAGATTACATTGCTAGGTGAAAGATCTTGTCCTCTGCTCCTCTGGCTGCACCTTTTTTTGCCATTTCCCCACTTTCAAATATCAACCAGGCAATCAATCTAAGGAAAAATTGTGTGTGCAAATTTGCCCATATGCATACTTTGTTTTCCATGTGTATCAATTTCCATGTATGTTACCTATCCCCAGCTCTCTTTTTGTAGCTGAAACTGACAATGAAATTGAGCAGGCAAAACTATACATATTGGACAGTCAAAGGAGAAAAATGCAAAAATAAGACTATCAAAAAGGAAGACAGAAATAAGAATGTTAAAAATATTGAATGTAATTGTGCAATTTTCTGAGTCCAGAAAAGGTGACAAACCAGTGACGGTCACTCCAAAGTACTGCCAGGGTATCATTATTATTACATTTTTATACTGCCCATAGCCAAAGCTCTCTAGGCAGTTGACAGCATTAATCATAGAATCATACACTCAAGTCACCCATCCCACTTCTGCCCAGGCCTGACCCTGCTTAGCTTCCAAGAGTAGGCAGGATCAGGCACTTCAGGCTACATGGAAGCTGTAACTTATCAGTGGACAAGTTGGTGCTGGTGGTGGCAAGGACAAATGCAAGGGGGTGTAGAGCAGCAGGAGCTTTTGCCACTTGTTGAGTGGCTAACTAACCAGTCCCTGCAACCCACAAAACAGTTGCTTCTCCAGATGACATGCCAACCCCTTATGGGTCAAACAACCCCTAGAACAAGACACAGATTGTCAGGGTAGTGTGCTGGTCCAAAATAAGCCACCCTTTGGGAACATCTGGGTTCAGATGAGTTCTTATCTGTTAGGTCATGTTCTTGAATGACAGAGCATGACTAAGAGAGGAACTTGCATGGTTTCTTCTCCTCCTCTTTAAAGTATTACATGAGTGTCTAAAGCTAAATTATTATTTTTTAAACATTCACTAACACTTTCCAGATTGCTTGAAGTATTTGAATGGAGAGAGAGATAAAGTGTGTTATTCATCATGAGCAGTGTTTGTTATTCACCTTCAATAATTACAGTGAATATATAAACAGATTTTGCAACACTGCCAGTCACACTTCTGTGAACTAGCTCTGTCTTTTTAGTTTGAAGTGTAGTAAAAACCTAGAAAATTAAGTTTGGCCTGAAATTTAATTATTAAAAATGAGCATTTGTATCTTATTTATATATTCAATTTAAAAAACCTTTCAGAAAAATAAAAATGAACATTCATGCTGTGAGGAACAATAACTTTTCAATACTGCCACCAGTGAACCATGATAAGGACTTTTCACAGGTTGTAATGGCAGCAACCAATAACAATTTTTATCCAAGCCACAAATAGTATGGCTCAAAAGCTTCCCTCTCCTCTGAGGCAGGCTTTTATGAGCTCCCAAAGTTTTCTTCTGATCCCAACCCTGAAGAAATTCCAACCCCTAGTTCTAAGATATGTCTAGGATTTTTACATTTTTCCATAACTAAAATAAAATATGCCACATGCCCATGTGTACCTTTCTGGAGATTTCTAAAAACTTAAGTGGTTTTAAGAATAGAAATTGCAATGGGAAGAAAATTGGAAGGAAATGTCATATGTCAGATTAACCCTTTGAGATTAATTTCTCTTAATAGACTCTTACATTGTAAATATTTGACAAGATTAATCAGCTTGCAGAGTAAATGGGGTGGGACATGTAAGAGTATGTGCTGTTGCCTGTATTACGTACTTGGGGATGTGTCCATATTCTTAGAGTGCCTATTGTTAGAGCACTTATTGATTAATAATGCTAATTGGGGATGAGGGATAGCTGCTGACAGATATTTGAATGTTTCCTTGAGGAATAGTATGTTGTAAACCACCCTAATTGGAAATCTTTTTCCCCTTTAAAGAGGTATGAGTGGTGGTATTAGTTATGTTAGCTATATTGGAAACAAATTTGTACGATTTTACTTGAAGCAAGACAACATACTCAAATTGATATGTTTTCGGTATCTGAGAACAACACTATTGATAGTGAGGAGGACTGCAATATAGCTGTTCTTTGAAACAAGGTTCTAGTTTAATGGAATAATTTTGCCACTGTGCACTATGTTTTTATTGTTTCAGCCATCCTGGTGATTGAGTTTGTCTATGCTATTGTGGGCATTGTTTGGTTAACCCAGTACTACAGCTCCTGCAATGATGTTACTGCCAAGAGTGTCACTTTGGGTGTGTATTCAAAAATTTCTGCATTAATTCCCTTTTTAGAAATGTAAATTTTCCTGCCTCCAATGTTTTGAATATAGACTGAACCCATTCACAAAGATTAACAAGATTAATATATATGGATTGAATGATGATGGGGCCCAATGTCTTACTTATTATTTTGTGGCCTGAAAAAGGTACAGTGTATATAGTTTTGTCATGGCCCTGGAAAACAGTACACGTCAGGAGTAATTGATAGTGCATCTGTAACTGTTAAGTATCACTCTAATTTGCTCCAAATTACTTGCATACAGTGGTGAGAGATCCCTGTTATTACTTACAAATTAAATACATTTTAAGATGGCCATCTATTACATTCAGAATCTCTCAGGCAGCCAGAAGCTTTATTCAGGGATAGCCTTCACTTTTGTTGGTGAAGATCAGATGGAATGTGTTGCTGCAGGTTAAAAAAGATAAACACAAAATGAATGAGCTGCATCTGCCATTTACGGACTGAGCTGTTGAATATTTCCTGTTTTACTAGGAATGGTTGTTTGTAACTGGGTTGTCATCCTGAGTGTTTGTATCACTGTCCTGTGCGTCTTTGATCCAACTGGCCGGACCTTTGTTAAACTGCGAGCCACAAAGAGGAGACAACGTAACTTGAGGACATACAACTTGCGGTAAGGAAGCAACATTGATTGATTGATTGATTGATTGATTGAATGACTGCTTTTATATCCCGCCCTTCATAGTGTCTCGAGGTGGTAATTCAGACTTCAGGGAGGGATAGTCTGGATTCTGCATCCTCTGTTTCTTCCTAACTCAGATCACATTTTTCTTGATGTGTTTCATGATTAACAATGTGTTGTTTGGATCTGGTCAGTTTGTTTCTATAAGCTCTTCCTGTTTTCTATTAAGCATCCGTTTCCTTAAACTGCTGTTTGGTGCCGTTTAAAAAGCATTTTGTGATACATCTTGTGCTTAGGGTTGCTGTTAGGCAAAGGATGGCATGAGGGAAGCCTTGTTGAGGATTTGTATCATCATCACACATAGTAATACCTAATATTGTTCTCTGTGTGCTGGTCCTTATGTAGCCAGAATGGCACCATCCATGCTCAACAGGGGAGATAAGTAGCAAGGTCCAGGAAAAAACAAGGTTTGCATGAAATACTTTTCAGGGGGGAAAAACTGAATGAGAAAGAACCCCAAAGCAGTGGAAAGATTGGGCATGATCAGTTACCACATGACTGTTCAGAACACTGGTAAGTGGGGGAATGAAATGGCATTCCTAAACAGGAACATTCCACACTGTAACTTTTTGTTGCAGGAACCGCTTGTGCCTCTCTGAATCAAGACTAGTAGTTAAAAGACATCTGCCACTGTTTTTATTATATAGAAAGATATGTAAAGCTTATCTGCTAGTTAGGATGTATTTACTTTTATGTGTTCTGATGTTACGTTTTCACACTCAGCCTTGATGTGTACATACTTTTCTAACATCCTTATGGTAAGAAAGTTCATGACATTTGAAACTGTAAAGTGCATCCACTTGAAAAGAGTGTGTGAGAGAAACCTTGAAAACAAGTGAGAGCCCAGGTAGTGTTAAACATAGCAGATTAGCTGCAGTAATCTTCTTTTTGTTTAGTACTCTCAGTCTCATAAGTAGCTTTTCATTCAAGCGTCTCATAATTGTAAAGCTTTCTTGACAATTATGCAAGGGTTCTGTGTGTGCACGTGTGAGAATTCTCCATGAAAGCTTAGAGTGTTAATATACTTGTTGCTGCTTCCCACTTCCAAGACAAATTTATCTGTATAAGCAGGGAGTCTGCTGCCATTGTGGCAAGCAGGCTAGAAATAACATAAGCTGGAAAAAATTTCACCTTCAAGGTCTGGACACTCTTAGGCATAATCTGGCATGTCAGGTATTGCTCAGATACAGGGCCTTTTTTGTCATAGAACACACCGGAACAGCGTTCCGGCACCCTTTTTTCCAATGGATTTTATGAAGTGATTTTGAATCGCCTATCAATGTAGCAGGTCAGCAGCAAACATCATTAACATAGTGCCTGCGGGCGGCTTTTGTGTCCGTGCCGCCCGGCTTGGAACACTGCTCGGCTTGGGATTGGTGTGTGTGGTCACGCGCTGAGTGCTTACTGCTGGCGGCGACGTGAGTTCTGGCACTTTTTTTTTTTTTTTTTTACAAAACACTGTATATATGCTGAGATTTCTGTGTTATTATCAAACATTGAAATCAGCATATAAATATTAAAGTCAGCAACAGTAAAGAAAAATAATTTAATAATAATAATAATAATTTAATAATTCATAATAAACACTGCCCAGTCTGGCAGGTGTGTATGTTAGTGGTATCAGTGGTCAGGATTCATGGGAAGGACATTATGAACTGATCCTAAATTCACTGGAGTTGTGTGTTTAGTTCATAATATACTGGGAGGACATCTGAGTTGGCTATTATAAATCCTTTTGTTCTGAACTTCGGTGATATCACCAGTGATTACTATATACATTCATGCTCTGGTGTTGCTAAATGTTTATATTACACCATCTTTCCAGAACTGTCTATTTGTTTATATGGCATTGGGTCTTAGTCTTACTTCTTACCCTTTCAGATAAGGATCTTAGGGTAGATGAAATTCAGAAGCTAGTCATAGTATTATATCTTTATATAGCCAGTTTCTTTGGTGATTACTGTAGGAGCTTTTCTACAAGAGACTATCAATCTGTTGTAGCTGCTTTCTGTTTCTTCATGGATTTGAGATCCAAGCACAACACAAAAGTTTTTGCTTTTCCTGCATTTTTGCTACATAACTTGTAGGTGGCACCGTCATATACTGGAATGACACAAATACTCAAGAGGAAGTATTGCTTCCTTTTGCTCTCACAATTAAATGCCTCATTTTCCATGATCTAAGAAAACTCATTGAAATCAATTGTTACATTCAGAAGCAAAACTGGAGGGTTACATCATCTGGACAGTCTGATGGTGTGCACCTGGTTATCCATTTGTAAACTTCTTCTTCTTATTCAAGGCACCGTTTGGAGGAGGGGCAGGCTAGCAGCTGGACCCGACGGCTCAAGGTTTTCCTTTGCTGCACACGAACAAAAGATTCTCAGTCAGTAAGTAGCAATTATCCTTTCATCAAAGAGGAGTATTATGTAGAACCAGTAATATTCCACTCAGTGATCCCAAGAGTGGGCTATTGTAGTGGCAGAGCAAAATAATAAATAAATATTTATTAAGGTCTTCTGAGACCATTTCACTATGAGAATTGCCAAGGTCAATGGAAATCTATTTCAGGTAATATTTCTCAGCACTGATACCTAGAATGTGTTCAGTCAGTCCTTATGTGATGCGGTGCACCCATGGATCTCTTGCTTTCCTGTTTATGAGATCTGGAATGGTTCCTCATGTCCAGTCATGCTTTCTCCCAGGTAACTCACTGCCTGATGGAATAGAACAGAACATGGCACTATCAACCCTCCATTGGGATCAGCCACTTGTTGGTGCTGCACCTGGGGTGCAAGCTGATCATGCTCTGTTTTTAAAAAAGCAACCTCAAAGATCCAATGCAGTGTTCCCTATCTCTTAAACATAGTTAAGAGAGGAAGAGAAACTTCTGAGAATAAGAGACACCAAAGGAAAAATCAATGTCCTGTTTCTTTGTAAGTTGTCTTTTCATCACTACTGCTGCCCGTCAACACTGGTATTTTATACATGGGTCAGGTTTACATGTCATGACAAGCAATCATGTGTGGTTTCTGCTACGTGCAGTTTCCACAGATGCCTGAAAGGCAGTCAAACTCATCATGGTAACTTGCTTCCTGTCCACCATTTTCTTCCATCTTGGTCATTCAGGTGGTATCCCAAGAGGCACTGTGGAGAGGAATGAGTCTCCTTGCTTTGACAGCCATGATTGTGAGCAGTGTTTGGCTCACAGCAGCTGTCAAGCTTACTCTGCTGTACAAACAGGGCTAATGTCCTGAAGCACAGCAGAGGGGACAAGTTGCTGGGTTAGGGAACCTCCACTCCTTCTCCAAAGGGGACCACTGCAGCAAAAAGGTGGCAGCAGAGAGGAGGGCAGGAATCAGCTGGGCAGGACAGGGCAGCAGAAAGGAGTTGTGTCCCCTCCATAAGTGCCTGAGTGAAGGTTCTCCCACACATGAGCAGCAAGGCAAGAAGCAGCTGGGTGTTGGCCGTGCTACAGCAACCCCTTGTGCTGCCTGTTTTGCATGGGCAGCAGGGTAAGAAGCAGCTGGGCAGTGGTATCTGGTTGAGAGCTGTGCACTGCACTGCATCACCCTATGCTACCTCTCATGTAGGCAGCAGAGCAAGAGGCAGCTGATTGGCAGCAGTGGCCAATTGGGTGCTGTATGCCTCAGAAAATTCCCCCATGCCATCCCTCTCTCATGGGCAGAAGTGAGGTGGCACTGGTGTCCTTCGCCCCCATTTCTTGCTGTCGCTTACAAAGAGGTGTTCCTAAGCCAGCAGCCATGACGCCAGAAGATGGGAGCAGCACAGAGGGAGGTGCTGCAGTGTACAGGCCTCAGACAGGTGCTTCCACTGCCCAGCTGCCTCTCACCCTGTCAGTGGCACACTCTGGTTCACACAAAAGGGGATGCTCTATGGGATGGGTTGTGGTATACAGCTCCAGACCAGGCACCACCATCCAGGAAATTGTTGCCATTCCCATTTGTGTGGGAGTGATGGCAGGGTAATCAACTTGGCAATGCTGCTCTTCTCCCACTGCTTGACCAGCTGATTGTCCACTTCTGCCACAAAAGATGTTTAGGGCAGGAGAATGAAGAAACATCTGACAGTTGTGATAAGTAGCAGATGTCAGTGGCACACTCTGGTTAACTGCTCTGTGGTTTCGGCCTCAGTACCATGATGAGTTGTATTTTCTGGTTCAGATGATCGTGGTACCAAGAAATACAGAAAAGTATGTTGCTTCTCTTTGTGGTTTCTCAAAACCAAATGCAACATCTTGACATACCATGATGGGGGATTAGACAACACAACAGACCAAAAAAGGTGAAAAATCACAACTGTGTGTTATGTTGTTGAAATCTGCCAATATATTTGATTATGTAGATCTGTTCATACTTACAGCATTTGCCAAAGAAAACATGACTGCACCTCTAGTTTTACCTACAGTAAGCATGGAAGTATGGAGCTGCTTGAACCATTTCCATTTGATGTTGAAATCCTGGGGACAAAGTACAGGGAATGTCTGTCTCCTTTGTGTTCTGCCTGTGAGCTCCTCAGGGACATCAGGGTGATAGTGGTTTTGGGCCTATGTGGGTCTTTGGCAAGTGCAGTGCAGTGGATACAGTTTTAGATGGGACATCAGAGACCTGAATTCAAATATCTGTTTAGCCAAAGTGTCCTTGAACAAGTCACTATGTCTTAGCCTAGCCTAACTCACAGAGTTGTTGTGAGGATGTATGTCATTGTGAGCTCATGTATGTCTTATGTATGTCTTATGTATGTCATTCTCTTGTCTTATGTATGTCTTATGTATGTCAAACTCTTATGTATGTCATTGTGAGCTCATTGAAGGAAAAGCAGAGTACATGTAATAAATAAGTTTGACAAAGTGTTTCTAGATGATTTCAGACACGGACAACCTATTGGAAAGTTAAAAAGGTCAGAATTGGTTCCTGATTACAAAGTGGGTATTTTAGAAACACATCTAAAGAGATGAGAACAAACTTTTCAGAACCAACCTAATGACAAATTTCAGCTCTTTATCTTCACCTGTCACAAATTCATCTTTCTGCCTTTGGATTTTTCAGGATGCTTACTCTGAAATTGCATATCTCTTTGCTGAGTTTTTCCGAGACCTTGACATAGTCCCATCTGACATCATAGCTGGCCTGGTACTTCTGCGCCAACGGCAGAGGGCAAAACGCAGTGCAGTACTGGATGAAGTGAGTATGTGGGGTGCTATCTGCATTTTTCATTGTTAAAATGCAGCAGTTACTAATATGTTACTCTGATTGTTGTATGTTAATCTGATGAAATGGATTCTAATCCACAGAACTCTATGCCATAATAAATGTAAAAAACTTGTATTTTGTTTTCAGGCTTTAGTGAAAAATCTAAAATTAAACAGAATTTTTAAAAAATAAATGAAAAGACTTTGGACAAGTTTGTATGTCATACTAACCCATCCTGGAAATAAGCTATAGTGGGTTGTTTGTTGTGTGAACAACCACTTTGTGCCCAACAGACAATCAGGTTCAACTTCCCTCCCCACCAGCTGTTATCCCAGGCTAAAACTGCCTTGTTTCTTCTCCCCACTGTAGTTGGGAGTCCATTTTTGCTCACTGCAATCATCTTCCCCCTCCCCACCATTTTGGGGGCGGGGAGGAATCTCTCTTTTTTTAAAGTGCTATACTTGCCATCAATGTGTTTAAATATTTATGTATTTTTGTAGTCAGAGTTGTTCCAATATGTACCTGTCTGAAATGGACAGCCTTACCTAAGCAATTTACTGAGAGTACCTGCTGTCAAAATATAGGAGGTACTCACCATGGACACTGATACAGAAAAGCTGCTAAGAGGTTTATCTTTGCTTTTCCTTGATGTTTGTCAAAAGGTGAGCTGTCAATAAAAGCAAAGCTGTGAATGATGTTTGTATATGAAAGAGGATGCCCAGTAGATTCCATTACAGTGAAATTCTCAACTTTTTATTGCTGGACCTGACTCTTCCCAGTGTCCTTCATTTTTTCCACGCTTTTCCAAGACACTAGGTGCTCAGGAAGTGGAATAGTGCAAGCGGTCTCCTTTAATGAAAGCATAGAATTTTGACAGAGTTCATCAAGGTTTATTCACAAGGACATATGTGTATATTTATATATATACAAGCTGTCAAAGCTCCATGTTCTTGTAAGAAAGGATGATATATTTTTCCACCTTATCAGGTCCAGGTCCAGTTAAATAGCTAGCAATCCAGTGACAGCTCTTCCAATGCGCCTCTTTAGCACATTAAAGGGGCCATCACTGGCTGTCATCTTGCAGATAGTGAAAAATGATTTCTAGGAAAAACAATGGAGTGCAGGGAGCAGCAGCAAGCCTAAAAGGGGATTATAATTGTGGCAAGGGGGCACCAAGATGGGTTGCTTTAGGATGTTTCTTGGTCTGGGTGGCCGGCAAGCTTGGCAAAAGCAATAAGAGTTTCTTTGCACCACACTCCAAGAGGCTCCGGAGCTGCTTCCCGGAATCCACAATGGGGTTAGTCACCTCGATTCAAACAACAAGACAAAGCTTGGGTTCTCAGGATAGTTTGTGCTCACAAACTTAGACACCTTGCAGAAAATGGTCCAGATTAGCACGCTACAACTACACATCATAGCTTGTCACTCGCAGTGATTTGTCATGCTGTATGCAAACCCAGTCTATGAAGCTTTGGTTCACTATATTGAGAAAAAACCAAGTTACACTAATTCAGGGCAAAGGGGCTTTTCTTTATTTAAAAGCAGAATGTTTTAGTGACATTGTCTAATTCTAATGTGTTTGTGATTTACAGGCAAATAATGATATTCTAGCCTTCTTATCAGGGATGCCTGTAACCAGGAACACCAAATATTTGGATCTGAAAAACTCAGTAAGTCATCAGACCATAATACAAATTTCACACAATAGTAGAATGTACACTAGATCAACGAATCCAAGGAATTTTTTGTCTCGTATTTCCTTTAATACAAATATTTACGTTAAAATTCAGAAAAGAAGGGAATTATTAGATGATAAGAACAAGCATTCAGTTTGCCCTTACCTGAGGCTAGCAGCAGATGTTGTTTGAAAAGTTGTGTAGTAAACATCAACAATATCCTGGCTCTGCCTTTTATTAACCTACCACTGCTCTACCCATTTCTGCCTTCAAAACTCTTCCAGGTACCTGTCCAACTGACCTCATAATTGTATCATTTTCCTCTGTAATAAAACAATACAGGGCTTCAAAGATGCACCCCTTTAAAGATGGACTGGGGGCAGAGAGAAAGCTATATGCAACCACCATAGCACTGTACCATGTTTCTGTCAGAAAATGGCTTTGAAAGGCTATGTCTAGGCCTATGCACATGCAGTCCTGTCTTTCTCTTTTGTCTTCAGGTCACTAAGATTACTAATTACTAATCATAGGCTCAGTTCTGCATATAACTGCATTTGAGTGTTTTAACACTGGAGCTGCAAACTTGTGCAAGATCACTCCATTTGGCCTGTTTACAGAAGCAAAGGGAGAACTTGGATGGTTCTGCTCTAGCTTTAGAAATGAGCAGCTGATCAGTCACTGAAATCACCCCTTTGAAATACCAATTCATTGTAACAGCTTACCCTCACTATCATTTTGGAGTAATGGAAATATAGGAATTCTCTTGACGTAGCATGTAAGCAAGACTTTTCATAACTCTCCTGCCCATATATGTCATCTTCCTTTCATTAACCAAGGGAGCAATTCTTTGTACTGTAAGAAAATAATATACTTGGAAGAGAAAGTATGAATGCTTTTTGTACTTTGGTTTAGGAAAAGTTCTTAAATAGCAATGAAATACCTCCCCTTCCTTTCCTGGTATGGCCACCAAGGTTGTCAGAAGCTTTCACTTCCATTTATCGAGTATGTCTAAATTTGGTGCAACTTGAATTAGTTAAGCATATGGTATGTTCAAGTAAACCAGGTTCTTGGCTTACAAGTAAATGTTAGTTTAAACTAAACAGAGTTCCTCCAATCTGTCTAAATCATGAAACTCCACATAGATTAAAATCAGTAGTGAAAGCCTCTGGTCTTCATGGCAGCCATGCCAGAGGAGGTGCTGAGGCATGGTTTTCCCTGTGGCATGTTCTTTGATTTAGCATTACATGTGAAATGGCTGCAGATGATTATCCTCAGCTAGAGAAACATAGTAGGAAGAAAGGCTGGGCAGGTTTTCGAGGCTTAATCAAAAATGGTTTGGCCTGTGGGGATATCTTTAATGAGGCCATCAAGTTTCTTAAATTTCTGTTATTCTCCAGCAAGAGATGCTACGATACAAAGAAGTTTGCTATTATATGCTCTTTGCATTGGCTGCTTATGGCTGGCCCATGTACCTGATGAGAAAACCTACCTGTGGACTCTGTCGCCTGGCAAGATCCTGCTCGTAAGTGTTGATTCAGGCTGTCATACTTTCCAGGCTGTATATGTTCAGTCATGTATTTCTCATTTATTGCCACTCCTTTTCTTTAGCACATCTTGAGCCTGCCCTTCTCTGTCTTCGCTTAACCAATTTTACCTTCTCGTAATACCATAGTCATTACAGCCCCATATAAAATGTTGGCCTTGTTTAAATAGTTTGAGTGTATTTCACCTCTGACATGATTAAGGAGTAATTCTATTCTATCTATACTTGCAGTTAATTTCCAAAATTCTATTTTCATCCATCACTTGCACTCATTATTTTTTAATAAGTCATTGAGTGCCTTACCAGACAATCCTATTCATGTTTACTCAGGAGCAATTCCAATTGATTTTAGTGGGGTTTACTCTCTGGTAAGTTTGGATAATGGTGTTCCTGTAGTTTCCAGATGGGGGTTGGAACACTTTATTGTACCTGGGGGTTCACCATTCACAGAGAAAGTGCAAATTCTTCAGACAGTTACAAATAGATACATTCTATTTTTAAGTAGCTAATAGAATATAAAAAAGAAAAGAAAAATTATCATATTCAGTTGACTGTATTGAAGGACTGGGCATTCTCTTGTCATTGGCCTAAGTTAGAAAACCCTCGGCACATGAGCAGTTCAAACCTTTGGCAAGATCCATTTGCAGCTTCTCTGGAGAGGAGTGAAAAAAAGGAGTGGAGCAAAGAAAAGAGATGATTCACTTGGTTTTGGCTCTAGCAAAGTCCTGCCAACATCTGCCCCCTCCCCCTACCCGCAGCAGAGTGCCCTGCTGAACAGAATCTTGCTCTCTTTTCTTTTCCCACATGTTATCTTTCTCTTTATTTACTCATTTGTTGTTATCCCACAAGTCCAAAGAGCAAATTTCTAAACTCCTGGCATTTATTTTTTTTTAAAGAAAGACAACATAACAGATCTATCATTTTATATAGGACAAAGAACAGGTGAGCCAGAGAACAGCAGTATTTTATTCAGTATCACTGGAATAGTGCTTCTAGTGAAAACCTTCTTTTGAGGCTGAACTTTGAAGATGTTGAGAACATTAAATAAATAGCATCTTTGTCTCGGATAAGCATGAGAAGAAGGTAAACAATAATTTTTACACTATCTGCTGTTTAGATTAGTCCACCCCTTATTTGCATTTGAAGAGTGTGAGCTTGAATTAGTTCATGAAAGGAAGAGGATAAGGCACAAATATACCATGCCTCTGACTGAAGTACTCAAACCCAATTAGAAATTAAAAACAAAGTAAAAAAACCTAGAAGACCTACATGTATTTTTGTTAATTAAAAAAGGTTAAAAAGGTTGTGGTGGAGAGGAAGGGAAGCTGTATGGACTCTTCGGGGGCAGCTGGCACTGGTGCTCATCTGGTGGCCCTGTGGCAAGAGCAGCAAGTGTTTTTTGCCACTCTTACTGTGGGGCTCACTAGCCAATTCCCTGAACCCGTATTAGGGTCAGTCACTTCCAGCCATCTGTGTGGTCTTTGGACAACAGAACAATCCACCCCCATTTGGGTTCACATGACACAATAACCTGTTGACCTGGTTTTGATGGCAGTTAGTCCTTGTTTGTTATTGTAGGTATGTTGTTGTGTTGGGTGAACAGGAACTGCAGTGCCTATTGGTTTCTCTTGGGTTGTGGTCACACATGATAGGTTGTTGTGTCATCCAAGCCTGGATAACTCAGTGCACCATGGGTAAACCCCACGAGCCAGTGAGTCATTTATCAGGAGCAGCAAAAATGTTTGCTGTTCTTGACAGCAGCTGGTAGGTGAGCACCATTGCCAACAGCTTCCAAAGTGTCTGTACTGCTGCTGTCAGAAGCTTTCTTTTGCCTGCAGCAGTACAGAGCAGCCATCCTTGCTATGGGCGTGAAAGCAAACCTCTCCAGTCACCAGCAAGGATGGTTAGGAACTGCTCCTTCTTGACAAAAGAGCAGCGGGACCCTCAGCTTAGAGTGGCAGACATCTTGCTGATGGTTGGAGTGGTCTACTCTAGAGGCTGGAGTCAGTGATCTAGTTTGTACCACTACCCCATACTCAGAACAGTGGTGCAAAGTGGACTGGGCACCATGCCTTCTCCCACATCCTACCTAAGAGATCTACTCTAAGAACAAGGTAGTGTTAGTGTTAGGTACTGCAACCAAGCAGATTACCAGTTCCTACCACCTACCTGTCAGAGAGTCTGTTTTCATGCAGGAGGTGAGGGTGCCCAGTCCTTGAGGTGAAATTGCTGCCAATCAGATTGGGCTCCTCTGCCTCTTGCCCAGGAGTAAACCTCTCAGGAAGGAGGTGAGAGCTAGCAATTTGCCTGGCACCACTGCCCCATGTGGATGCTGCAAGGGCATTGCATATAGGGACTCTCTGACAGCTGCAGTGAGCTCACCTCACATCCTCATTGTGTTCCCTGAATACCTCCTGGAGGATTGTGGAGGAGGAATGGATTGAAGTAGCCATGACGAGTCTTTCAGGCATATTGTGGGTGCTTTGCAAAACAAACAACCCACCCTGGCTTATTATTGTCACTTTCCGTGAAGACAGATTTTGTGCAGCAAATTATTTTCAAAGGCTGCATGTAACAGAGCACTTACTGTCCCACAATGAAATTCTGACCCACAATACTGTTTTCTTTATAGAAGGAATACAGATGAACTGCTTGTGGCTAATATACAAAAGTTCTCCCCTACTAAAAAGTATGCTAAAGTGGGGCAATATGAATGAACCATTGCTGGCTTGTGGAATTCAGGGACAGAGACAGTAAAAAACAGATACTGACACGCTTTAATTAATTAATTAATTAATTAATTTTTATGTTGCCCAATAGCTGATCATTAGTAGTTCTTTGACTCTGTTTTGTGTTTATACTGTTATTCCTTTGGGCTAAATTAAATGTGACATAGAACATCTGTGATCAGATATGCCAACATATTTTCTTTGCTTAAGAGAAACCAGGAAATTTGGGTTAATGAGTGAAGGAATTTAATCTTTCTCCTCTGAATTTATTCTTTCCCTTTACCAGAAGCAAATATTAGTTGTAGAGGTCAAAAAACATGGGTGCCTGTTTTTAAGGAAAAGAAAATTACTGGGAGATACAGTCACAAATTAAAATATACAAGGAGTCCTGCTGGATCAAACCAAAGGCCTGTCTAGTCCCACATTCTGTTTTGACAGTGGCCAAACAGATGTCTGTATGAGGCCCAAAAGCAGGACATGAAATCAGTATTACTCGTCCACAACTGTTCTCCAGCAAATGAGGCATAGTTTCTCATGCAGTCTCAACTGGGAAAACTATGGTTCATGCTAACCAGCTTTGCCTCTCAGCCATGGCTTATAGTCCCACTTCAAGCTAGGATTTGAAATCATAGTTAGGAGGCAATTACTGACTAGCATGTAGCAAACTAGGTATACAATGTAAGATGGAAATCTATATACTGAAGAAAGTAGGAGGAAGCCCATGAGCCCACAGCACATTGCTGGTAGAATCTGCCAAGCCATCTTTTAGAGCAGCCTTCCTCAGTCTGGGTGCCTTTTCCAGATCTTTTTGCCTACCACTCTCATCCTTGACATTGGAATTGGTGACTGGGTCTGATAGGAATGAAAGTACATCTGAAAGGGCACAGTTCGGAAAAGGGTCAATTAGAGGATTGGGAATGTAAAAGTAGAAGGAAGGAAAGCCGTCAGCAGCAGGAAAAATATGTTTTATAAAAGACATTAGTACATATCGCCTTACTCATTTTGACATTCCAGAAAGCTATATGTTCTTCTTACTGGGCTCTGCACCTGCATGGAGCCTGTTGTTGGGATGATTCTATGGCTAAGAGAGTTTTGGCAGGAACCCCTTCCCCTCCCTTGGGTTTGGTGTATTAGAGGGGTTCTCTCCCATTCCTACAACTGCCATTGAGGTGTGTTGGGAAGTTTGTTCCTTTGCAATTCTTGTGATTCCTTCCTCTTTCCATAGCCAATTTTTAACCTTATCCTGGAACTAGAGATGAGACAAACCCTGAAAGATACTGCCAGTCCAGGCATTTATAGGCTTCCTCTTTTGTTCAGCCCAATTTTCCAAAGACATCCAAGCTGAGAAGAAGTCTACAAATGCTTGCTGAGCTCCAGTTACAAAACCGGCAACCTATTTCCACATCAGCAACAGCAGCCCAAAAGGCCATCTGTAGCTGGAGTGAGAGAGGTGCTGATTTGAAAGATGCTTATTTTCACATTTCCATAGAGAATTCATACAGATATGTCTTACATTTCCAAACTGAGGCCTTTCATTTTTTTTTTCTATTTCACCAATTGGACTGTCCACAGCCCCAACAGTCTTGACTAAGTGTATAGAGGTAGCCTGTACCCATTTGCGCCTACACGGAGTCCAGGTTTACCCCTACCTGGGTGATTGGGTGATTGTGGCAATTTCTGAAAGAGGTTTACTTTATTCCATCAATACTTTCTGCACTTAGATAAGTTGGAAGTTTGCATCTCAGAAAAGTCTATTCTTTCCTTTGTTGGGGCTCGCCTTGACTTCAATTTCCAAAAACCAGAGTATCAGTTCTAATCAAGATGGCCAACAGACTGCAGCCATTCTGTTGTCACTTCCTTCCAGATCCAGCAGGTCCTCAGTCTCTTGATGGCAACAGTTGCAGTACTGCCACTGGCCAGTCCTCTCCAGCTGTGGTTCATCCATGTTTACCCCATGGATGATCCTCAAGAAGCTTACCTCCAGATCCTGAATCCATTTGAACAATTCTCAGTTAATGGACATATTACTACAATCTTGCCAAGGGGACGCCATTCACATTCTTTGAGCCAGCATTAACTAAGGGTGCCTTACTGTTGTTATGGTGTGCCCACTGGGGTGGGCATACAAATCACCTGGAAATGCTTGTGAAATGCTCTCATGGCTTTTCAAACATTCCTTTCTTATCACCATGTACAGATTGCCAAAGAAAATACCACTGTGGTCTTCTATATCAACAAACAGGAAGGCACCCAGTCTATTCATTTAGCCCATCTAGCTCTCAGGATCTGGAATTGATGTGTTAGCAGAGTTATCACCCTTATTTCAATCCAAGCTGCCTGTACCAGCAGTGCTTTGGCCAACACTCTCAGCTATATGAGCTTAGAGACCTACAAGTGGCAGTTGGACACCATGCACCGAGAAAGCTCTTCATATGGGGGATTCCTGCAGTCAACCTTTTTGCCACAGGGAAATTGTAGTATGTCCCAGCTTCTGTTCTTGGACAGGAGAGGACAGAGGCTCTATGGGAGAAGCTTTCTTACTGAATTGGACAGGAATGTTGTTTTATCTATTTCCCTCTTTTCCTCTGATCAAAATAATGCTAGCAAAAGTTCATCAGGATGGCAAATACTGTATCATCATAACACCAGACAGTCATGTTTCATCCACCTATTCCAGTTGTTGAATTGAACCTTCCTTCAGCAACCACCAAGACCAAAATTTCTCAAGATCAGGTGAAAGTGTTGTACCTGGATGTACGCACTCTGTGTCTCCCAGCCTAAAGGATCTTTCCCTAAATGAAGGGCATACCACTTTCCTGAAGGACTGTGCTTGATAACTAGATGCAGTTTTGAAGCCCTCAACCAGAAAATCCTATGTAGCAAAATAGAAATCTTTCTCCTACTTTGCATTGTGAGAGAGCTTTCATTTGTATTAATGCACGATGCATTTGTATTCTCTTTCTCCACTCTTTGTTGGAATGGGGGATGAAGACATTGTTCATCTTTGTCTACATGGCAGCAATTTCAGCCTTCCATGTACTAATCCAGGGTTCATTGGATTTTTCCCCATTCCTTGTCTCAACATTTTCTCTAGGAGTTCAAGAATATCACTCCACCAACTAGTTCTTTAAAATCTAAGTGGAGTCTCTGTATAATTCCATAAGCCATTATAAAGAAACTGTTCAAACCCATGGCAACAATTGATCTACACCTGCTGCCATTGAAGATTGCTTTCAACCCATCAGTTCAGGAAGATATGTGCCTTCAATGTGGATACTCTATAAATGGTCTTCCATAGACACAAAGTGGTGCTGTATCCAGACTCTTCTTTCCTCCCCAAGGTTATATCAAATTTTCATATCAGGCAGGACATTGTCTTACTAGCTTTCTTTGCTTCCCCCTCAAATCTGATGGAGTTGGCACTGCATACTCTGGATTTTCATTGAACACTGCCATTCTACCATTCCAGGACTGAATCATTTTGCCATTTGCAAAATCTTTTTAGTTATGGTGGCAGCAGAAACAAAGGACAACCTGTCTCTTCTCAAAGACTAGCATCCTGGGTGGTGCAGCTTATCTCCTTGGCTTTTGAACTTGCCAGTCTACAAATCTCAGGGCTGCTGAAGGTTCACTCTTCTTGAGTGATGACCAATTTCACTGCTGTACATTCTGCCTTTGTAGAGCAGCCACCTGTGCTACCCCATTGACCTTAGTAAAGCACTAAAGGCTCAATGTATGTGCCAGAGCAGATTGTGCCTTTGGGAGAGCAGTCCTCCCTTTAATACTTCAGTAATGACATGTACCTACTATATAGGAAGGTAAACTTGCTCATTGCCTGTATGTGTGATGCATGGAGACCATGAAGAAGAAAGGCAGGTTGCTTACCTGTAACTGTTGTTCTTCATGTGGTCATCTGTGCCTACACATAGCGTACCCATCCTCTCTTCTTTGGTGTCGTATACAAATATGTTTATTACACAGAGATCAGTTTCAGCCAATGTTGAGGTCAGTCTGCTAGATCCTTCCACTATTCTGAGGCTGTAGTGTCAGTCTTGTGTGAACTGCTGTAATAGGTGGGAACCACTCTAATATGCTGACACTAAGGGTGAGGGAGGCGTTCCTGCTAAAACTCTCTCAGCTATAGAATCTTCCTGACAACAGACTGCTTATGGGTGCAGAACCCATATGTGTGAATCCACAGATGACCACTTGAAGAATGATGGCTAAAGGTAAGCAATTTGCCTCTTTTCAGTGTGCTTGCTTTGCTATTTTTTTCTACCTGAAATTTACCTATACATTGTCTTTAAAGATGCTGCTGTCTCTGCCCCACACGGCCCCGCTATGCACCTGGTGTCACTATTGAGGAAGATAACTGCTGTGGCTGCAATGCTATTGCCATTCGTCGCCACTTTCTTGATGAAAACATGACTTCTGTGGACATTGTGTATACTTCCTGTCATGATGCGGTAAGGACAATGTGAGGGATCTTGGTGCTGGAGAACATTTGTGAGGCATGTGAGAACCATGTGTTAACATCTTGTATTAACAAAAAAATAGCATTAGTCTCATTTGGGGCCATTTTTGACACCAGATGAAAGTGCCTCAGGCAAGAAGAATGCTACATATGAAAAAACTTTGTTTGGGTTGAAATTTTTCCCCTTGAAGGATTGGTCAACATAAAAATGGCTTTCAGGTCACTGAAAGAACAGTTAATGTCTAAGGCTAACAAAGCAAGATAATCTGTATAACAATGCTTGGCCTATTGACCTTTTTGTTGCATAATAATTGTTTGGCAAATCTTAAAAAATCATAGCAATCTACTAAGCCTTCCCTTGGTAGATGTTAGTTCTGTTTGCTGGAGCTTTTAGCTAAGAATCCTAACTTTAAAAAGAGACCAAGATGATTTATACCGAACTTCTTTTATACCTTTGTTCAGGGCCCGTTGTTTGGAATATAAAAGTATGCCATACCAATATTCCTGTGGAGATTCTGGAGTATTTTTATTCCCCAAGGGTGTATTTGTAGAAAAAAGAACTAACTGGTAGGAAGTTGAAAATTGGAGGTGTTTTAAACAAGGTGTTTTGTGTCTATGTCCTAGAAGAACTAGTAAGCAGGAGTACTTCAGTATAAATTACAGCATAGAACATGAGTTAGGGGGATGTCAGTTTCTCCGCCTTGAGAGATGAGGGCTACAGCAGCCTTCCCCAGTCTGGTGCTCTTCAGATATCTTGGACTACCCTCCCAAAATCCCCTGGCCAGGATACTTTAACATAGGTGGAGGGTATCAGGTTCGGGAATGATACACTATGGTGATAGGTCTAATAGGACCTTTTAAAAGTTTTTATTTATTTATTTTTTTTTATTTTCCAATTTATATCCTGCCTTTTTCCTACAAAGGGCTGAAGGCAGCTTAAATCGTTCTTCTTCTCCATCTTATCCCCACAACAACAACCCTGTGAGGTAGGTTGGACTGAGAGTCTGTGACTGGCCCAAAGTCACCCAGTTGGCTCCATGGCTGAGCGAGGACTAGAATCAGATCGTCTGAGTCCCAGTCCCATGCTCTTAACCACTACACCACCCTGGCTCTCCACATTAGTCCTTGCATGTGCACTGAAGGAGCACATTTAGTTTAAGGGTGTTACTACCCTATCAGGGCTCATCTGTCAGTTTTATTCCCATGTTAGGAGTCAGAAAGGCATTCCATTAGTTAAGACAGAATATTTTAATGTAATACCACATTTCTTTCAGGTTTATGAAACGCCCTTCTATGTGGCTGTAGATCATGAAAAGAAGAAAGTAGTTATCAGTATCCGAGGAACTTTGTCTCCAAAGGTAATATTAAACTATGTTCATTCACAGTATGTGCTATTTCATGTGTTGTTACTAGGAGTCTGAAAATGTATGCATGCAACATTAAGATTTGTAAGGGTGCCTCAGCGACATATCTGACTGGGGCTCCCTCTCTTCCCTCTAGGATGCTCTGACTGATCTCACTGGGGATGCTGAGCGCCTCCCAGTGGAAGGTCATCACGGAACCTGGCTTGGGCACAAGGTACTCATGACTTTCTTCTAATTTTAGTTAGTTCACTGGCAATTTCCACCCTCTCAACTCTTCTTAAAAAGTGAACAATTTAAAATATATGATTTGTGCATGAAAAGCACAATACAATGACAATTTTTTGTTACTGAGAAAGTCAAAAAAGTTCTTGAAGCTGCTGTTGATTAAGTTGTTAGTTGAATAAATGAACCAGTAATTTGAAAAACAATTTAAAATTTTTGTTGTGTGCAGTGAAGTTGTCTCCCACTTAAGGCAGCACTATGGATGAATGCCCTCTGGAATGTTCTGTCCTTCACAGCCCTGCTCTCCTCTTGTAAACTCAAGGCTGTGACTTCCTTTATAGAATCAATCCATCTCATGGGTAGTTTTCCTATACTTCTGCCTTAGACACTCCTCCAGCGAGCCTTGCTTTCTTGTGATGTGCCTGAAGTTTAGCAGCATCAGTTTCATTATTTTTGCCTCCAGGAAAAGTTCTAGCTTGATTTGATCTAGGAACATTGTTCACCTTTCTGTTGGGCTATTCTGTTGAGAAAGCTATTCACAAAGCTTTCCTCCAGCACCATGCTTTGAATGCATCAATTTTCTTCCCTTCAGCTTTCTTCACTGTCTAATGTTCACACCCATGCAAAGTGGTCAGGAATACAATAATGCAGATGAACTTGGTCATGATCTCCAATGAAACATCTTTGTGATAACCTCACAAGGCACTGATGTATTGAGCACAATTCCTCTGACTGTCTAATGCACAACTGAATTGAAAAAGCCAGTGTTTCTACAAGTTGCTGTTCTGGAATATATGTTCATGATGAAGCACAGTGCCAGACAACCTAAGATAATGTGTGTGTACAGCAATGTACATTGTCTTCTGGTAAAATTATCAGTTCAGTTAACCATAAGGAAACCAAATTTGTTTTTAAATGGTAAATGGCTCCTATTAAATTATACCTAATGATGAGTATTAGAGATCTGAGAGAGAAAAAACAGATCATATTTGTATGAGCCAGTGTGGTATAGTGTTGGACTACAACTCAGAAAACCTGGGATGTAGTTCTACATCAGCCATGAAGTTCACTTGGGTGACTTTGAGCAAGAAACTGCTTCTCAGCCTTAACCTACCTCACATGGTTGTTGTGAAGGTTATGTAAGCCACTTTGGGTTTCTTGCAATATGTAAAAAGGCAGGATATAATGTAATAATAAAATCCAGTATGAGATTATTTATAGCTATTTACAATTTGTATTAGGCTATATAAAGGGTACTGTTAGTATAAGGGACTGGGAATTAACATTAACCCTTCTGGTAATGGTTGGAGTTGGAAAAGAAGACATGAATCTTCCATATATATAAAGAAGTTTCTAAATTTTCTAAGTAAAATTAAAATAAACTTCCTACATAAAATTAATGTTTTAATACAAAAGTCAGTCCTTCTCTCTCTCTCTCCTCCTTATCATTCACCATCTTTCCACTTTATCCTGTGTTTGCCCTTCTCTCATTTTTAACTGGTAAAAGAAAATAGCGGTTGTGGTTGTGGAATCCCTCCTTAGTTTGGTCTACAGTTCAGTTTTGTGTCCTAATATACCAGCTGGAGACCAATACCTTAGAACAGGGGTGGACAGAAAGTTGATCAGGTTCTGCTTATAGAACTCTTACGGAGTTGATGGATCCCAATTGTTTTAACAATAGCAAAAGAAAAAAAATTCTCCCTCTGCTTTAAATTGTAATGGTGAAATGAGAAAGATTGCGGAGAGAGGAGGCTCAAAATGGATTTTTATATGAAAGGCCTTTTAGGTCTAGTTCTAAAAACACACTTAGGGCTCAGAATTCTGTGATTCTAGAAGATTCAAGATTCTAATAAAAGCAAAGTAGTTTTTGTTTGCAATGTAGTTGTGCAGATTTGTCCAGTCCTGCTTTAAAGTCAATAGATATGTTTGAAAGAATTATGTACAATTATAAGCCACCATTCTATACGACATCTGCTCCACGCAGTCATATGAATTTTAACTTTTTTCATCACTGAAACTTGACATCATTTTGTCAGCCAGTACATTCCTGTATCCTGATAACTGATTACATGAGGAACTCTGTTCATAGTCCATAGTCAGGTTTTAGTCATCTCCATCCTTTCCCCTTAATCTGTGGAAAGCACCCCTGTCACCATTGAAATGTTTGTACAGGATATAACAGTGATCTATATACTGAATAAATCTTACATCTGCTCCACTGGAAGCTTCCAGTTAAGTCAGTTAATTCATATTTCAGAGGATCGTCATTCAAAACATTGTCATTCCTTCTAGTTACTGCCATTATTGGTTAAAAGGTCCTTGGTTAAGTGTCTGCCCCCTGATTCTAGGCATTGTGCATGACAGGAGGTCCTGTAGAAATCAAATTAACTCTCCAGTGTAATTTTAAACATTGTAATGCTATAGGCCACTCCTAACCTGCTTAGATGGTTCCTTGTAGAAGGATTAGGATGGGATAGAGGTATAGAGATAGATAGAAATGGTAGACAGCAAAGGTGGGGCATCTGTGAATGCAGCCCTTGTTATGTCCATGGAAAGTTCTACATGTGTAGAGCTCTCCCTGGGGCAATGCAGGAGCCATTTTTGATTCCCCATATCCAAAGCCCCTGTATTTCCCGAAGATACTTCCAGATTAGGGCCTCTAGCTATGCTGGCCTGAAGCTGTCAGAGCAAATTCCTTCCCCATTGGTTTCAGTAGGAGAGACATTCCCAGAAGTGGTGATAGTCCTAGTTACAATGTCCATTAAAGGTACTGGGAGTGATGGGCAATCTTCCACTTCACTCTCATGTCCAGTCCATCTAGGATCACTCTCCCCATCTTCACTGGAGAATTAACCTTGGCCACTTGATTTAATATATACACTCCATATGGTGCTGCTGGCTGCTCAGCTCTGCTAATACTCACATTTTCCCTTTTTGATGCTTTCTTTTAGGGGATGGTGCTGTCTGCTGAGTACATCAAAAAGAAACTGGAGCAGGAGATGGTGCTCTCTCAGGCCTTTGGGCGTGATTTGGTGAGTCTTTACTGTATAGTCAGTTGATAGGCTCATATTCCACCCATGTTACCCTGTGAACTATTGAAGTTTATGTTGGATTTGTCAAACCACATTCAGCAGTTGAGACCTCTAGCAATTGAAGTTGCTGTTAGTCACCAGATGATTAACCCATTGTTCTTAAATCCAGTTAGAAGATGTAATGCTGGGAAAAATATTAAGAAAGTACCTTTTCCAAGGATGCTTGAAACAGAAACAAAATTCAGCTGAAAAGTCATGTCCACATTGATGGCTTATTTAAACCTTATAATGAATTAGAAACTAGTTTTTCATATGCTCATACACATACTGACAGAATTTCTCTATTCTTCAGGTTAGGGGTGGCCAATCAGTGCTGACCAGATGTTTGGAATCACAGCCCCCGTAATTCTTGGCTGTTGGTCATGCTGGCTGGGGATGATGGGTTTGTACCTTTTAGGCTAGAAGTGCACAGCCTTTCTGGCCTTGGGGTTACATGTGCTACTGTCTCAGGGGTGCTGGCCACATATGTGGGGACACACTGCAGAGATTCTGACACAAATTGCTCTTTTCTCCTGCTGTCTGTCAGCAACATGGAGGGGCCCAGGTTATCTAGCCCTATTTTAGGTAACTATGTGAATTATAATGTAACTTTTCACCATATTTCATGTTTCTCTAAACACTTCTCAATAATAGAACATAAATTGCATTTCACTATTCTTTGAACTGAAAATGCACATTTTAAAAATATGTAGATTAAAACATGTATTTAAATACAGAGGGAGAAAGCCATCCTGCAGTCCCAGGAGAGCATTCTGGGAACCATAGAATCCTTTGGAGTCCTCCTTTGAGGCCGTGGTTGCTGTTGCAACCTTGAAGGGAGACATCAGAATCCATTCTTCACCCTTGCCCCCTTGCAGCTGCTGCAGAAAGAACTGAGCTGGCTGCTTCCTGAGACTGCAGAAGCACCTTCCAGGGTTTAAAAGGAGATCATTCCTGTAGAAAGGAAGGGGAGACAGGAGAGGCCTGTCTGGAAGAAAAAAATGGAGCAATTATAATTCTCCTCCTTCTGCCATGCTAGCAATAGGATTCTGTCTAACAAGGGTGCCACCAACAGTATTTGGCCCTTAAAATGTGTTTTGAATTTTTTAAACAGAAATTAAACTGGAGATTAATGCAAAAATGGGACAAAAAGAAAATATGCGTAAAAATGTTTATGTAAAATAGGCTGGAATGAGGCAAATTTTCCTGTCCCTACTCCACCAATGCAGAATTTGTTGGGGGTATGTCAGTCTGTGGTCAGAATTAGTAATGCTGTTCTTCCACCAAAAACAAACTAGCACTCAGAAAACTAGAAATCATATGAACTCTAGAAACACAGGGGGAAAATACTCAGTTAAAAGCAGCATAATACATTACACACAGATAAAACAGAAAACATAGAGAATTAAAAAAGCGTTCAACCCATCAGATCAGTTGGCATGCCAAAGGTCTACTTCAACAGTAACATCTGTGTCTGCTGGAGGAAGGACAGCAGAGGGGAAGCCAACCTAGCCTCTTTGAACAGGGAGCTTCATAAATTGGAAGCAGCCACCAAGAAGGACCTCAGTCATGTTGTTCCTGCTGGTAGGAGTATCTCCAGAGCAGAAATCTGCTGATGGTATATTCCCAGCAATAGAGGTGGATGTTTTTACCCATTTCTTCTTTCCCTGCAGCTCATATTGCCTTCTCTCTCAGAAACTGCTCTGAGGGACAGAAATTGTCCCCCTTCACTTCTGACAGGGATCCTCTTCAGATTTCAGAGTTGTCTGAAAACACGACTCCTTCCATTTGTAGAAACCTAGTCCGGATCCAAGCTTTACTCACTGCAAAGTATTAGCTTAAGGTGTCAGATGCTCATATTAGGAGAGTAAGTGTAGGTTAGTAGGCAACAATGAGTGTGCATGCGTGTGTATTGGACAAAGGAGAGAGTAATTCATATTTTAGCAAAACGAGGAGTATTTGGGAAAAAAATAGCAAATTCTAATTGGCCTTTGTTTTGTAGGGCAGAGGAACAAAACATTATGGCCTCATTGTGGTGGGCCATTCCTTAGGAGCAGGCACAGCTGCCATTTTGTCCTTTCTGCTGCGTCCACAGTACCCAACCCTAAAGTGCTATGCCTATTCTCCCCCAGGTGGCCTTTTAAGGTAGGTATTTTTTGTTTAATAAATAAAGGGAATGGGGAGCTGTAGCTTCTGAAATTACAGTAGCATTTCAGGCTTCCTTCTTCAGCTTTAAGGAAAGATTCATACCTTTGAAACCCTGCTGCATTAATGGGATTCCCATAGACTCAGCCCCTGCTTGAAAAATATGTAAAAGTTGTTTGGCTAACCTGTGCCTCTTCATGCTCCATGTAAATCTCAACAATCATGGGGTCTGTTTTCCTATGTTGTTTTATTTTCCCATCCTTATCAGTTTCAATTTTTTAAAAGTTATGTTTAACTTATAAGGTATCAGGGGTTCAATTTGTTGTTTAGTCGCAAAGTTGTGCCCGATCCATCATGACCCCATGGACAACATTCCTCCAGGCTCTCCTGTTTTCCACCATCCTTCGGAGTCCACCCAAACCCACACCAAGTGCCCCAGTGACTCCATCTAGCCACCTCCATCTAGCCTCTGCCATCCCCTTCTCCTTTTGCCATCAATCCTTCCCAGCTAGGGGTTCAATTTATTCAGACTGAAATGAATTTGAAAATGAAAATACCAAAAAGTACAGAGGTATATGCTATCTTTAGCAACTTCTTAAAAGAGAAAAGGGAAAATAGTCGTTTGCCTGTGTGTATGACATCATCACTTCAAAAGCACTAGAGCAGCCTTCTCTAACCTTGTGCCTTCCAGACACATTCAGACTGCAACACCCAGAATTCCCAGTCATAGCCCTGCTGGATGGGAATTCTGGAAGTTGCAGTCGAAATACATCTGAAGGCCACCAGACTAAATTCTTCCTTCTTTTTTGTACTTAACCTGCCCCTGCCCACAAAAATCAATTTCAGTAAATAAATGCAATTTATGGTGTTGAGCCTAATTCAAGTTGACTTTATGCTGGACACAAGGTAATGCTCTCCTAGTACAATAAACAATTCTTATCTTTAATATTACTTTTAAATTGTTTTATTTAAAGCAAAGCTTCATTGGATCTCTTCCATTGTTCACTATGAGCCTAATGCAAATTATATATTCCAGAGGAACTTTTGATGGAAGAAAACTCACAAGCTGAATTATTTGAATTTAGTTTTAATATTATGGAGTACAATAGACTCAATTGTTTTTGCATTGGACTATATTGTTGAAAGGTGATGCCAATAATATCTACCTTAATATTAAAATGTTATTATTTTGAAAGTAAATAATACATTTATTTCTAACCTAAAATTGCACTGGACTCCAGTTGCAGATCAGTATTGCTTCTAAATAGTGGAAGAGGGTTAAAACAGAAAGCTGAAATCCTCAGGATGTTGACCTGCCCCAAATGTCAGCTGTGCTTAAGTGGTTGGTGTTCTGAGGCAGACTCTTCCTTTCTTGCTCTAGGCTCCAGAGCATCAGATAGTCTATTACAATGCAATACACTTCACAGCTAACAAGACAATGCAAGTCTAAAAGGCCTCTAACCAGCTGAGATATAAACCTCTGCTCATGTAAAGAGTGAGTGTTGAGCGCAAGAAGGGAACTTCTTCTCAATCCTTCCCTTTCATTAATGCCTTGGGCTCCCCCCCTCAGGGTGGCTTCTGATGGTGGAGAGCCAGCCAGCAAGACCAATGAGACTGATGCAAGATCTCTAACTGGGGAGCTTGTCTCTCCGAACACCTCATCTCAAGTTCAGGAACCACGACAATGGTTCTTCCTCCGCTTCTGGTCCGCTCCCATCTCTTCCAGAACATGTCTGCTTTCACAATCACCCTGCATGTAACATTTTATGGAGCTGCAAAGGCTCCTGGCCCACCCCCCCCCCCACCCCCACTGATCTTCCAGCCCTTCTGTTGCCTCTTCCTCTGTGTCTTGCTCTTCAGAATCTGATAACACAGACCTTCGAAAGTCAGCAAAGAGTGAGCACCTGGCCTACTTACTATGATTGGGATAGGAAGTATATTCTCTGTCATAGACAGGAAATTATTGTCCATTATATATATAAAATTAGAGTAATTTCTGTTAGCAGCCCAGAAGCCTGTCTGTAATAACAGTCTGGGGGCAAATAACAGTGAATTTATACATGATTACTGATAGGGATTATATCAACTTATTTGGACTGAAAATCACAGGAGAATTATTCACTAACACTAACCATGAAAGGAATTAACATTTGGATCTTCCATGTTCCATTATACTTCCTGCAGAAGTGTTTCAATTATGGCTACACTTAGTTAGGAAGTTAAGTTAGTTAAGTTAGTTGAGTTTAGTTAGGAACTGTGAATGATGAATAGGCGGCGGGGGTGCTGCTTGCTTAGCTGAAATCTGCATTGCAGGCTGAGGAGGTAAGTATTCTGGCATTGTTCTCATCTTTATTGTCTTACCATGCTTCCATTTTAGAAGTGAGTAAGTCTCCAGCTCTAACCATATGAAGGATGTGGAGGATATAGTGATGAATCAATACATGGTTTAACTTAGAACATTAGAGTAGAACATACAATTGTACCTCTGACATAGTAAGGTTGTATTGCTTTAGAGAAGCAACATAGTGCTAACCTTAGATAAAAATCTGTAAATTGAACAGTTTTTGATTCAGAAAATGAATTTGACATATAGTGTACCTTTTGCCAGTGCAAACTCCTGAGTTTTTTTCCCCATTTCTCTTTCAGCGAGGATGCCATGGAGTACTCCAAAGAGTTTGTGACTGCAGTTGTGTTGGGCAAAGACCTAGTCCCCAGGCAAGTCAGAAAATCTTGATTCCTTATTTCAATTGTCCTTTATTTTATTCCAAAGCTATTAGTTTCTTTTCTTACAACTTTCCAATTCACATTTGTTTTGTTTCCCATTTACCAGTCCTCATGTGCTTCTTGCTTGTCCCTCTTTTCCTAGCTACCTGTATTGCTGTATCTTTTACCTGGACGCACACACACTGATATATCACCAACCTGTGTTTTGGCATTTCCCTCCCCTATCTCTCAGTTGCCTGTTTTACTGAAAAAGGTGAAAATTCTAGTTCCATAGTTATGTTCATTTTGGCATCTAACATATATGTTTCATCTCCTTAGTTACCGGTGCTATCATTTACACATTGTACTCTCTCTCAGGTCATCTCTTCCTCTGCCATCTTATACCTGTGAATTGTCTCCTGGCTATATCTTCCGTGACATCTCCCATCTAAGCACTGTCTCTTGGTCTATGAGTGTTATCACCACACTCCTGTCTAGCATCTTTGTATTATGTGAGCTGCATCATCTTACAGTTATGTACTGTGTATTGTCACCCCTTGCTTATCTGTGTGCTGTTTCATCTATTTCATCTGCTGTTTCACACCAGAGTTGTATGTGCAATATTCTTGGTTATTTTATACTTTAACATTTCGCATACTTTTACAATCCCCTTGTTTAGTGGATAGATGGCACTTACAAAGCATTTTTGTAGTATTTTTAATTCACAGATTCTAGAACACATTACAAATAATGCAGAGGTAGTTGGGTTTTCTATGTGGGTAATCACTTGTCTGATCAGAAGAATGAGGACTTAGGTGGTTGGAGAGCACCTTCCCTTCTGGATTGTGATCAGTAGTTGGACTCTAAGCAAAGGCAAACTTCTGTAGCAGATTCTCTTAGCAGAAAGTTTATGAACTACATGTGATATATATGTACTATCATGGTTCATGTGAAAAAATAGGATACTGGAGAGTGGCAGGGCTTGTCAAAGGCTACAGAGAAGGAGATTCTAGTGCGTTCCAGTTACAGTCATGTTTATGTGCTTTACTTTCCCATGGACGTAGTAACATCCACACCTTTTATTTATGTGTCTCTTTAATTTACCTTAAATTCTGTGGATGAAATCAAACTGTGAGCTGATTTTGAGTATGAAAATATTTCTTACTTGTGTTTATCTGCGGATCTGAATAATGGAACTTCTGCACTGTCCCCTCACTTTGCTTATTCCATCTGTGAAATGGGATCTGACATTTCTGCATTACATGAATTATATCCTGTATATGACTCTGCAATATGCTGTGTCCCTGTTGGATGTTGACCTTGCACAGCTTTGTCATGTTTTTTATTAGCTACATTTTTAGTTTAATGCCTCTTGTGTAGTATTTTTAGTTAGCACTTGCATGGTTATCTGTAATGTACAAGCTTATAGTGTTCTAATAGGTTATGGATTGTTTTCAGTATATTTATATATGCTGTTATTATACTTTGTGTCATGGGTAAGTCTTCTCTGATCTCATCGCTCTTTGCTTTCCTGTGTATTGTTCTCATAACTGTTACACATGCATCGTTACAGCTGATATTCTTTGTCACTCAGGATTGGCCTCTCACAGCTGGAGGGTTTTCGCCGGCAGCTTCTTGATGTTCTGCAGAGAAGTAACAAACCAAAGGTAAAAAGATTTCAGGTTATCTGAAATGAATTTATTTATATTGTGAAAATTCCCAGAATGGCTGAAAAGGCCACTTCTTCACCTTTTTGGTTTAGGACTACATACTTCAACTTAGCTGTTCCAGCTCTTTGATATCTTCATTATATCTGCACTGGTGTAAACAACCTAATCCCAGGTATCTAAAGTTTAGATGTCTGCGTTGTTGCCTTCCTGCATATTGTGAATTTAATGTTAATCTGTTGTATGGCATCTGCCTGAACTGTAGCCTTTAACCTCCCTATTCAAACTGAAAGAGAAGATTGATCAGACTGCTTGAATTTATGTTGCAGAAAAATGTGGTTAATTAAGGAGCTTCATATTAGCCTTAGGCACAACAGAAGTATATTGGTACAGTATGTCATGTGTTGTTCCTTTGGCTCTGACTCCTCACTCCATGACTATTCCCTCTGGGTTTCAAGCTGATAGCATTATCATTAAAAATATTTTGTCTCATTTAGCACAGTTGTTCACTTGCACTAAAATGCCATCGATGGGGCAAAAACCTTTGAAATCTGTTGCACTTCCACAGCTATGATGACATTTTAAAAAACATTAATATAGGAATATGGTGAAATGCATGTTGAGTAACTACATTCCGTAGTTACTAAATATGCAGTTTCTTTGGGATGTAACTGCAGTTTAACTGCAGAAGAATCTGCATATGCAGGGCAAAAGAAAATATGAATTAAAAACAGGATCTTAGGACAGGGCCAAGACTAAAAGGGTAAGATGCCACTGTGATGGAGATAAGGTACATGCTATTCTGTGTATTAATGTTAGGATTCCTTGTGATCAATTGCAGCCATTTTGGGTGGTGGCAGGGAGAAGTTTATGTCAGGCTTGGAGATCCAGAGGCCAGGTGCTCAGCCTGCCAGACTCAAAGTGTAACTTCTTTTGGTATCTATTTTGTATATTTTCCATGTTTACAACTCTGATGTTAAGCAAACCAACTCTACAGATGCTCCCTATTTGCTCCCTCTTCTTTCCCTACTTGGTGACTTCTTTCCTTCAGCTTTCTCTAATTTCATCTGTAGATCAAAAGTGATTGATGGGCTCAAAAACCGCCTAACATGTGTCTTCACTGATTTGCCTGTCTGTTATGAGGGCACTGGTTGGAGGCTCCCCATCCCTGCTTTATATCATGACATAATTTCTTGCACATAATAGCATTAACTCAAAGTCCAACTTTCTTTTAACTTCTTTTGCACAGTGGAGAATCATTGTTGGTGCAACGAAATGCGTACCCAAATCTGAGCTCCCTGAAGAGCCCGAAGGGAATTCAGTGACCAGTAACCGCCTCTGGACCCATCCCAGTGACTTAACCATTGCCCTGTCTTGCACGTAATAGCATTAACTCAAAGTCCAACTTTCTTTTAACTTCTTTTGCACAGTGGAGAATCATTGTTGGTGCAACGAAATGCATACCCAAATCTGAGCTCCCTGAAGAGCCCGAGGGGAATTCAGTGACCAGTAACCGCCTCTGGACCCATCCCAGTGACTTAACCATTGCCCTGTCAGCCAGCACACCACTCTATCCACCTGGACGCATCATCCATGTGGTTCATAATCATCCTGCTGAGCACTGCTGGTAGGTGAAGCTGGGAAAAATCATGGGTGAACATTTGTCGGTGTTTATGGGCCTTTTTGGGAAAAAAGACTTTTTTCTAAGAATTCTCTCTTAACATGTAATGTTGGTGCATGCTTGGTGATGGTGCTGCATATATGCACTCTGTTGTATTGCTGCCTAAGAATTCTAGCTCATCTCTACCTATTCTCCTTATACCCCTCCATGGTGGATTAGTATGGGAAGAAAAAGCCTAGAAATTATTATGTATTCAATGTTTCTGGGCAGTTCACAACAATGCATGAAAAATATAATATAAAATATGAACAACAGTAAAAGGTTGCCATACAAAGATGTAAAACCAAGTTCAAACACATATAATTTTTTACAATAGCTTATACAAAGTAATTTGAACTGCTACCTTTCCCCCATCATTTGTTCCAAATTTGTGATACTGTTGATCCTTACAAAGTAGACATATTCCTGGCACTTTTCATGACCTTTAAGTGGAAGTTAATTTGTGATATTAGTGACAGATTAGTACTTGGATTACTGTGTTTTACAATATGGGCTTAAACTTGTATTGGAACATCTGTGACTCTATTGATTGGGTCTAGGACATGCAACATACTTTTGTACCCTTTCCCCACTGTGTTTTCCTCTGCTTATTTCCTGGAATTGTCACACTCCGCACCCCTCTCCTTGCTTTCTTGCTTTCCCATGATTGTGCATCTCCTGGCATCTTTTTCAGCTGCTGTGATCAGGAGGAACCCACATACTTTGCCATCTGGGGAGACAACAAAGCTTTTAATGAAGTAATAATCTCCCCAGCGATGCTACATGAGCACTTGCCATATGTGGTAATGGAGGGTCTTAACAAGGTAATACTGTGACTCTGATTTTTTAATAGAAGCTAGAGTTGGAAAAGGATCAGAAAGATCATGATAAGCATCTTGGTGTGAATTATACGGATAAAGAAGTGAGACTGTAGGAGGGGATAATACTGATTTAGGGGTTCACAGATATAGAATAGATAGATATTGTGGGCAGGGATACGCTGAAGCTCTGTGGAATGTGCCCCTGTAGTATTTGTGGACATCCTCTCTTGCTTGGCCCTGTCCTGGAAAGTGAGCTGAGCTGAGAAGAAGTCCATGAAAACTCAGCGCAAAGGTTGCACAACCAGCAACCTTCTTCTGTGTCAAGTGCAGCAGCGCGAGCAAAGGCTGCCATACATGGAGTGGAAGAGGGATGCTGCTTGTGCAGCTGTCACACAAAGCACCATTCTTGACCCACACAAACACTGGACACACTCACCAGGGACTTAGAATTGTGGCCATCTCAAAGCAGACAGAAGTCTAGGGAGTTGAGCCCAGGGAATCCGGTGGGTTCCCACCTGCAAAATGGATACCTTATACATCCCTAATTGTGGGTCAAAGGGACTGCAGATATATGCATATACATGCTAATTCATTACTTGTATAAAACAGAGCATGAGTCAGACATCTCTTTCAGGGGCATGTAATGGCTTGCAAAAACTTACTGTGGGACTTCCAGTTTTCTTTCTTGGAACAGCGTACTTCTGCAGTTTTTTTCAGTGCCTTACTGAAAACTACCTTTGGAGTGTTACTGTATGGTTTACCATAGTTAGAGAGGTAAAATGGTAGTTAGGGAACTGGTAAAGGGGGTAGAAGGGAAATAAGCCCTATTTGAGAAATAAGCCCAGCTGAGTGTGAGGAGCTGTTCAAGGGTATGGCCATAGATTCTTAAACCTCTTGCTTCAGCAAAGATCTTTATTTGCCATATCATTGATAGTATGCTTGCATTGTCTACCATCAATGCATTTGGTTTATATTAATGCATGATGTATAAAGAAATCTTTTGTCTACCATCATTGCTAGGTTAGAAATCTCACCAAAGCTGTTCTTCACTTATTTGTTTTTCATAGGTCCTGGAGAATTACAACAAAGGCAAAACAGCTTTGCTTTCTGCAGCCAAAGTGATGGTGAGTCCTACAGAGGTGGACCTCAATCCAGAGTTAATCTTCCAGAATCAGCCCCTGTCTAACAGACCCTCTGTGCAGATTGGAATTGGAGACATAGCAGTGGACAGGAGGAACAGCAGCACTAAGTAAGGACATGGCTCTGATTTTCTTGAAAGATCTACCAGTTCCCTGGATCGATGTGGTAACTGCTGTTGTCTTGGTGCATAAAATGATGTCATGAATGAGGAAACATATCTGCAGTGTGCTCTTCTATCACTTGTTCCTGGAAATTATTACATAGCCTTGCATGAGTCTCATATTTTTGTATTCTCCTTTTGCAGGAGTAAGGCTCACTCTGAAATCAGTTTGGAAGGGTTTTATGACACCAAGCTTCTGTCTCCAGTGCAGAAGGATCCTGTGGAGATCCTACTTCTAGATACCAAGGAGCGCCTGTCTGTAGAACTGCAGGACCGGCGAGCTCCTCTTGCCACAATGGAGAGCCTGTCTGATAATGAATCCATCTACAGCTTTGATTCAAGGCGTTCCTCCGGTTTCCGTAGCATCCGTGGCTCACCCAGCCTCCATGCAGTCATGGAAAAAGATGAGACTCACTGTTTTTATATTGACCCAGCAATCCCTGAGGAGAACCCCTCTCTCAGCTCGAGGACAGAACTGCTTGCTGCTGACAGCCTCTCCAAACATTCCCAGGAGACTCAGGCTCCTGAAGCCCTGCACAACAGTGGAGGCACCACTCCTCAGCGGCGATGCAGTGATGAAGGGGCAGGCAGTGACACTGACCATGTTTCTTTCATTCCACGGGAGGAACTGACCCTCCAGAATGGAAGGCTTAGTGATGCCCCAAGTCCCCAAGTGTTGGAGTTTGCAGAATTTATAGATAGCCTCTTTAACCTGGACAGCAAAAGCAGCTCCTTTCAGGACATCTACTGCATGATGGTATCCGACAGCACCAGTGATTTCGCTGAGATGCCTAAGTCTGTCAGTGATCAGGAGATCCTGCTAAGAGCACAGTATGAGCCCAACTTAGTCCCAAAGCCCCCCAGGTTATTTGCAGGCTCAACAGATCCCTCCTCAGGCATATCAGTTTCCCCTTCTTTCCCTCTGAGTTCTTCTGAGGAGCTTATGGACATCACTCCTACAGGAATGAGTAGCCAAGAATGCCTGGCCACTGACAAAATCCGGACTTCCACTCCCACTGGAAATACGACCAGCCCCGCCAAACACGAGGACCTTGTGATCTCAGCTCTTTAGTATAGGAGAGGAGGGCACAATTAGCCAATCCCATACAGTGAGCCGTGGGATAGTACTTGGAGAAGCTGGTCACCGGACAGGTGAGGTTGAGAAGGATGCATGGGGAAGGGTGTCATTCCTTCCTAGGTGCTACATTAATGGCACCACAGAGGATGTACACAGGAAAGATGCCACACCTTGGGCACTGTCCTTTAGTTAGGGAGAAAAGCACTGCCTAACAGCCTGCTGCTTTTTGAAGGCCTCATTCACTGAAGTAAAATAGTTGGTTTCCCTACCTCAGCATATTTGTTTAACATGAGGGCAGATCCCCTGCCTTTCCTGCTGAAATGAGGAAGTTACTGTCCACAGGCTGGAGGACCAGAGTTACAGAAGCTGAGAAGTCAGCTGATGCCCCTATAATCATGTTAGAATCAAGGAAAATTGTGACTTTGGGCCCTATTGCACTAGTATGTCATATTTTACCCAAGCACCTGTTCATCATTGTCATCATTGTGATTTATTTTTTTATTCAGCACACTTTCCTGTTTATAATAGTTAAGGCTGTATTCCAGAGGAACACAGCCACCCACTTCCTCACCATGACTGGGTGCAGTGAAAATTGGGATGGGGCTGTGTGTTTTGCTCCCCTGATTGTCTCTGTGTTCAGTGATAACCAAGCTTCTTCTGAGAAGAAAGAAAGTGCATGTACTGGAGAGTTGAGGGCCAGTTCCACATTTCCTCATCCACCAGAGGGATGAGTGGTCTTTCGGGTCTCACAGCATTGTATAGCTCCCCAGATCACTATGAACTAGTGACAATCTTGATCTAGCCAACATAATTTTCATCTCTGTTTGCATGGATTAATTGGTTTAAACGGACATTTGTTATTCAAGACGCTTGCCTACCCTGCACTATCCCCCGAATGCTTCTGTCTGGACCCACTTCATTCATGACCTTTCATTCACCTGTAGTATCATGGCAGACCAGTGTTGGTCTGTCCCTGAGTTCAGGGGAAAGGTGGACTTTTACTGCATGTTGAAGTCTTATATATGTTTACAGAGCTACTAAGCATTTGGGAGGTATTATGTGAACAGCAAATCCCTGCCCCTTCACATCCCTGCTCCCCACAACATGGGACCTGAGGCATCAGTGGGATGCACAGAAGGTATGGTTATTAGGAAGCCTTCTTAAAAAGAAAGGACAGAGTGCTGGGATTGATCCTCTGGGTTGATAACCATTCACCCATCCTACTATTAGGAGCTTATCAACATCACCTGACTCTACAACATCTCATGAAATTATATCACAGCCACTAGTCCTGCAACTTGGTGCTCATGACTGAGATCAGCAGTCATGACAACACAGTGGTGCTGTGTAAAACTGCAGGGATTTTCTAGTGATGAAAATAGGAGTGAAAGAATATTTGCATAGGAGGTTAAACATACTGTGACCTACATTTCTTTTAATATATTAACATATATTACAGAATGTGGCATTAATGCAGCAGAACTCATTGCTGGCTTATTCTGCATGCAGTCTCTGGGTTATACAGCATACTGGGCATGCATTACAGCCTGGCAGGTACTTCCCTGATAAATCCCCTGACTTTGCAGACTCATGTCCCCAAGCCAGCTGCCAAAACTGGGGAAGCTCTCAAATTTATGGCAAATTCCAGTTAGGAGGAACTGAAGAAGAGTGGGAGGTTCACCTGCAATGTCTTGGTGGACCAATGCTGGTCTGTCTCTGAATTCAGGGAGGGGGAAGCACTCTTTCTGGTGACTGATAGTGCAGTCCCATGCATGTCCAAAAGTGTGCTTAGAATCGCAGTCTTAGTTCTGTTATCTAAGGACACTATATTTCAGGTTGTTGTCATGCATATTCTTACATACATGTGCATCCTTGCTTGGAAACATGTCTTCATGGGACTTCCTTCTGAGTGAACATGCACACAGCTGAGCTGCAAATAAATGAGTATAAAACAACACACATTCCATTAATGTCAGTAGGGATTGGGGAATATGTTAGCCCTCCAGGTACTGTTGGATTGCACTTCCTTCCAGTTCTAGCCAACATAGCCAACAGTGAGGGAAATAGGAGTTGCAACCTGGCATGCTACAAATTTCCAATCCGGAGGTAAATGCTTTTACGATAATTGAATTGGTGAAGTGAGATCTTTTGATCTAAAATAGTGGTATTCAACATGACAACATAAGGGTTAATTGCCTTTTCTACTGTGAAGTAATTATGCATTGAAGTATTGAAACTTTAATTTCTAAAATCCCGCTATTAAAAAAAAAAGTTAATTCTGTTACTTACTATTTATCCAATCTGACTTAAGAGTCCAGCTTTTCTCAACAACATTCTAGTTTGGAAGAATTATTTCTAGCTTCTAAGCATCAATTTAAAAATGCATATGTATGTTGAAAAATTACAGCTTAGTCTGACACATGTCTACCCTGATGTAAGTTCCATTGAGTTCAGTGGGACTTGCCCTTAGGAAATGGATTGCAGCTTTATCTACCACGTTTATGATACGCTACACTGTGGTCATTATAAGAGCAATTGCTTTGGCTCACTGCTGGTCTTGGCGGCTGTTAGCTAGACCTAGACTGACAGAACACTCTTCTTCACTGAAGACACAGTAGGAAAATGTGAGTGATTAAAGATAAATGTAGAGGAGTTTTCTATTATTTTTAGGGAAAGCACATAATAAACTGCAACATTTGTGATGAAAGTGAGGAAGGCAGGAGTGTTGCAGAATTTAAGCTGCAGGTACTTCTAGTAGATTAGGCTCACAAGGCTGGACAGTCTCCTTGAGGTCCGATACAGCTCAAGTAGCCTGTTAACCTTGCAGGGACATTGCCTTGTGAATTGAGCTATGATTCAGTGCTAATACTTGGCACCTAGAAGCGCTTTAAACTTCAAAGCACTTTACGAATGCAGTGAATGAATTGTCCCAACTCTTGTGGGTCATGGGTATGTGGGGTGGGAGGAAGGGAGGATGCATGGGTATGTGTGTGCAGTGTATCTACTGTATTATTAGGTGGAGGCAGTGCTGTCTCTGAAAATCTACCAAGGCTAACTGAAGACAGTTCTTTGCCTTAGAAGGTTACTTTCCAGTTGGAGAGCAAGGTTGGAAGGCACTAGGCAGAAAAGGTTTTAATGGTTGTTTCAGTGGTGTTCAGTTTGTGAATGATGGATCAAACTATTGCACTAGAATGTCATGCCTAACCTGAGCACCATATCCTTGTTGTTTCATGGGTTTTGTTGATTACTGCTATGCTTAAAACTGATTGTATCCTAAGGAAGTCTTCCTTGTCAGTGGTAGGAAGAATCAGATTGTCTTAATTTGATACAGGGTATCAGCATGTTCTGTGACTGTTGGGGCTTTACCCAGAAAATATACAAATTCTGGTGACTCACATTCTTGCACTGACCAAGAGAGGCAAGAGGGAAATGAGAATTGTTGCTGAACATTTATTTGCTGCATCACATCAGAGTGTCCTGTTTGAATTATTTACCATTTTCTTGAGAAAATCAGTCTCCTAGCTAATGTTGGCCTTTTTAGTAAAACCAGGTAGTACATCAACACTTCTCAAATACACCTTTTTTTACTATTAGCTATAGTGTTCTCAGTATAGTAAGTAACTGGAAAATAACATACTGCTGACATGAATGCTGGCTGACCTGTTGAATTTCATGCCTAAACACATTGCTACCTCTTTCATTCACACTGCATATTGCTGTTCACTGTATCTGTTCCCTGTTCTCTGATCAATCAGTCTTCAGATGTCATTCAATCAGTTTGAATGTCATTACCATCTTTTACTTGGTCAACAAAAGCTGGATGGATTTTCAGTGGAATTGCGCTATTGTCGAAAGTTTGGAACAGAGTGGGCCCATTAATTTTTACTCACAAGCTGGATTTTGTGCACTTTAACAGTGGAAAAATATGAACAAAAGACCCATAAATATGTTGATGAAATGTTGCCAAAGATACCTGCACATGGGTTATCTTCCAGCCAACACTTAGCATTTAATGCCTCTTAAACACTTCTGTGGAAGGTTTTAATGGGAATTTTTAATAACTTTAAGTGGCCGTAATGGAATATAATCCAGGAACATATGCAGAGAACACATCAAGTGTTATCTTTGGGAAGAAAAAAAACTCCATGGTTTCTATAGCTCAAAAGATATTTCACTCTCACTAGTTGAATGACAAATCTCTTTTGAAAGTGTTTATTTTACAAACTTGCCCAAATACAAGGTGTAACAACATGCCTGTCCTCTTGAATAATTCTTGGCAGACTGAGCATGAGCTTCTCCCGAAGTAGAACTTGTGCCGCCACCGACTCTTTCCCTGATGCTCATGCAGCCACACGTGTGTCCATCCCCCCTTTATGTTTGCTGCTGTGGGCAGGCTTTTGGGTTACTGTCAAGATCTCATGTCAGATCCAGAGACCCAAAGCAGCACAATTCTGATTCTGCCACAATTCCCTTCTAAACATACGGTTGTACTTGTAATCCAAAATCTTTTTTATACTTGATTTTCCTGATGCTACAATATTCCACCTCTTTTCTTCCAACCTTTCACCCTAGTTGAAACGCTGACAGCATATCACTGCTTCAATATTTTACTTGTACACAGCTCAGTCATTTTAAAACTAAAGACTACCTCCATGGGAGTGCTTCTGTTGCAAGAAACTAGGTTTGCTCGACACTCCAAGTACAGTAGCTTGAATTAGGCAATTACTACTCTTCTTCCCTGTGGAATGTGGTGTCACAGGTGTCTGGGATACTGCCTATGATGAACACACAATTCCCTCTTTGCATCATTTTAAAAACCTTTTTTGTGTGTGTTTTGTTCTTCCATACATACATGTTGACTTACACAACTACTGCTGCAACAGTAGTCCGGCGTCAGTGTTGTTTGTTTTCTTTTACACTGCAAAAATAAATTAGGGATGTTGTTTCCCAACAACTAAGGAAACCTTGATTTCCCTCTACTGGAAAGCTAGTGCTAAAGCATTTGTCCAACAGTGATAAGTTAATGGCTTGTATTTTCTTCCACCCATTATGTGGTGATGTGAAACTGTACTAGTGGTGCTGGATTGAAACTAGCGCATATTAGTGCTAAAAAGAGAATGTTACAGAAGTCATCCACTGAAAATGCCTTATACTTGGTTGGATTATTGGTCTATCTTACCCTTTATGTTCTACTTTGACAATGACTCTCTAGCTTCCACCAGAGACTTTTCTTCCCAAGACCCTTTGTAACTGGGGATGCTAAAGGTTGTAGGCTCTTGTACAGAAAGGCATATGTATCACTGAACTGCCCTAAAAGAAAAGCAAATAGAATAAAATTATTTCATTATATGGAAAGATCCCTAGGCTGAGGCAATATTTCTATGAAATATATACCTGGGCTTCCTCTAGTCACTCTTGTGTGAAGTATAGTAAATAGAATTTGAATAAAACATAGGCCTTGAAATTCACCCAAAAAATTATGTGATAGAAATCTGCAGCTTCTTTCACAAACTGTTTAGTGGTTTGCCTTGTTTCCAATTCCCATGTTAACATGAACCCATGTTAATTTTTAATTGTTTGGGCTTTTTATGGCTCCCTGCTTTAAATGAAAAGGCTTTTTATACCAAACACTCTCAGTTTTAAAACTCTGATATACAGTTACAAGCCATTTCTCACCGTTGTTTCAAAGGAAGTGAATCAAAATTGTATGAAAGCAGCTTATTCTTGTAGGACCAGGTTGTTTCAGTCCTGAAGTGGAAGCTGAAATTGAGGGCAAGTTTTATGTGGCGGGAAGGAACTTATGAATTGTTCATGGGAGCTATGCTGCTTGCCTTTTAGATCCATGTTCATTTGTTCTCTTTTTCCTTTCCCCTCCTTCATCAAAAGAGAGCAAGAATGCTGTCTTTGTTGGCCACTGGATGCCATCCTCCCCTGCAAAAGTCAATAAGAACAGCACAGTTACCTGGAGGTAAACCCAAGTGAATATATGGGACTTACTTATGAATCAACTTGGCATAGGATTGTGCTGCATGGCACAGGTGTACAGTTAAAGACAATGGCAGCACAGGCTGTACTTGACATGGTCAAAGGGAGGTAAAGCAAAAGGACATAGGACCCCAGCTGCTCCTATGTCTTCACCACTGCCAGGAGGGGAACACCTTTATCCACTGTCTGCTCCACTAAGCAGACTTCTATAAGTAGAGATTAGTTACTCATCTTGCCCACTTTCTGTTATGGGGCACAGCACTTTGATGCATATCTAGGGCTCAGTCAAAGTTATTCTAAAACAAGATTTAGGAGGGCAACAAATTTTTAGCGGTGGAAGGGGGAATCTTCATTTGTAGAACAGTCTGAACAATACACAGTGAGAGTAAATAATAAGAATCAGATATATTAGTTATTCAGGCAATCCTTTTCTGGATGGTTTCTGTAACTTTGTGTGTGCTAATCAGTGGAGCAACTTCTAGTTCTCTTAGTTTAAATTCTCAACTCTTGATCCTCTGTAGCTTCTTGATGGTTTCTTTCTACAGCCATGCTCTAAACTTCAGTCCTAACTCTCTCAAACTCTCTCTCCTTTCCTTCCTCTTTAGATATATGTTTTTTGTATATTTTTTGCTCCTTTTAAACTCTTATTTCCCAATTTATATTACTTTCACTTTTCCTCTTAACCTTTTGGTCAATCAGAAAGGAAGCAAAGTCCTAATTAAGTTTCCATCTCTCCTTAATTATTAGTTACCAGGGTTGAACTGTTGGCCTTTCTGTAAGCTCATTCCTCTCCTTGAATAATAGATTCCTGAGCTGAACACTTTCAACCCTCTTGGTCAGAACAGCCTTTAGAAAAAATAGCAACCATTGTACAAGTCCCAAAGTCCTAACATAAGAAGGCTGTGAGTTTCATTCCTTCAGAAAAGCCCATCTGTTGCATGCACCCCTTATGTTTTAAGATGCACTCCTTAAAAGTGTAACATATAACTATACACTAGCATAAGTTTGTAAATGGTTGTATTCACATCCTCTCATAATTTCATTTCCATCCCATTCATTTTCTCTTTATTTTTCTCCTGCATGTATGTTTCTATATAACTATGTAAGGGTGCCAATGCATAGGTATGTGCCTTTCTGTTACTGAGGCTATCTTTACCCTCTTTGATACTGAATAAGATGGATGGAATATCTGCTTTGCCCCTTAGCAAGAAGTGTTTGTCCTCCTATAGGGTTAACAGAGTCCTAAGAAAAGAAAGAAGGAAAAAAAGCAGGTGGGTAGGATTTCATAGCTAATGCAATCATGGATGAATGAAGCAGGGAAGAGTAGAATATTTACCCATCTTACACTAATATATTTGAGTCTTAATGGCCTTCTGTGAACAGTGCCTAAACTATAGCTCTATGTGAGCAGTAAGGGCATAACTAAGGGTCTATATGAGTTATTTCCTAGGCCTGTTATTACCCTAGCACCACAGTCACCTATTCCAAAACTTGGATGTCTTCCATCTGCTTCTTGATGCTGCCAAATGCAGTTATTTCTAGGTCTCCAGCTTCTTACTTTTGATCAAAACTTCACACTGTCTCGTATTAATTGAAGGTAGCTTTGGACAAGTTGTCATATTGTCACCTTGTGAAGAAATCCAGATGTACAGCACCATCACCTTTTTGCCTGACAACCACAACCAAGTACTTAATAAGCACAAATGATTACTTTGCTGCCTGTATTTACTGGTATTTTAAACATTCTTTATTGGGGTTTTGTTTTGTTTTAAATGAAGCAAGCATAGCAAAGGCAGGGGGAAGAACAGGAATTAAAGGACAAGGGTAACAGGATACAGCCCCTAAGTAAAGAGAAGAGCTTAGGCATAACCATGTTGAACAGTATTTAAGGAAGGCAACTGAATGAATGGACACACACACACCAAAGTGTGTGGTCCAGATAGATCTCTGGGAAATGTTACCCAAAGCTGCATATTCAAACATAGAAAAAGCAGTGATGTCCTCTTTCTTCTCTCCACTGAAGAACTGGCAGTGGAGAATTGTCTTTCTGGTGTTGAGAATTTTTCTCAACCATGAGGGTTTACAAGATCCATTTTTGTTGGCTATTTGACAGTTCCCAAACCATAGGAATTCAATTCAGGAATATGTGGACATCTGTGAACATGAGTGATGTCTATAACCTGCCCATCCAGTGCAGATCTCCAGCCTAAAGAGAACCATTATGAAGCAGGTCCACTGTGTATGTGACAGAGAATCAAAATCACAGCGCCCACACCTAGCAGAAGTGGACAGGGCTGGATTTTTTAAAAATATATGACATCTAGTATGTTTGAAATAATTTCTATTGAATTAATGTTGATTTTTGGCATATCAAATTTAGGCTCATGCAGCCATTCAACACGGGTATTTAGCAGTCTTAAGATCACTGTGGAATATAATTCCCTGTTTTGGTTTTCAATCTTTGAACATTCTTCAGTGTCTTGCAGTCAGGAATAGTTTACATTAGTGGTGCTCCTCAATGTGTTAGCAAAATTTACAAGCACCCACCTCCCACACACACACTCACACACAGCTTTCTCTTTGACTCTGCTGTATTGCAGTTGTGTGTGTGGACATGGCATTTAATGCAAGAGCAAGGAACCCTTTTGATCTCCATTTCCAATACAGGAGACATCTCAGGCTGGATTCTGGGAAGGACAATGTGAATCAATATGTTCTGAATGTTTACTCATTAGTAAGGCCCATTGAATTCAGTTAAACTAAATTAGAAAATCACAGGATACGTAACTGTTGGACATTTACTCAGAAGTAATTCTTTTAAACTTCATTCCAAGTATGTGTGCCTAGATCACAGGGATCTCAGGCATGCAGTTCCATTAGTGGCCACATAAATTCCTGATCCCTCTGTACAGTTCTTGACACCAAAACAAAGATCCACTTCACATCCCTCCATATGTACAGAAAGGTCAGAAAGAGAGTCACAAAGTGAAGAGTGCACCATATTCAAAACACTCTGCAAACTGGCCCATCCCTATCCAACAGGAGTTCTATGTAGCAGCACAGTGTAGACCCATAAGAGAACCCCACAGTGAAAAGTTTAGCCCTGACCAAGTGGGACTCTGTGGAAACAAGGGAAGAAAGTGAAAGTGAGCTCTGAAGAATGAGCAGTCCCAGAAAGAATGGGAGACTAATGAAGAGCTCTAAATAAAAAGGAAGAGAAAAAACCTCTGAAATTGGAAGAAGCAGTCCAAAGCATGGCGGAGTGCTTTCTTTTGCCTTCTAGATTTCTAGGGGCATTTAAGCAATACGGTTTAGGCCGGCTAAAGGCAAAGAAGATCAAGGGAACCTGGACAAGTTTTGAGGGGGACAAGGGGAGTGTGGCTTGGTGGGCCACATGGGGCTACCAGCCCAGAAGCTCCCTGCTGCTGCACAAAGAAATATCCTGACCTTTTCACTACCTGTTCAGGGTATGCCCCAAGTTGTATTCATATGTGGTTATATGCATCTCTTATCAACCTTACCTGATACAGGTGAGTAAAGTAAATGTGACTCACCTGATTTATTTCCTATGGATAATTCATTGCTTTCTCTTTACAAAAGCCCTTGTGTTGGGTAATTATTCTCTCTGAGGATGTTTACACACAAAACAAAGTTGCATTGTCTCAGATATATTGCAGACTGACTGAAACAATTGCTGCTTGACTTCAGAAATGCACTTTTTTGCAGCAGGGGCAGAATTTCAACTGCTTTGTACCAGGCCCTTCTCAGAATGATAACATAGCATAATTCCCCTTTTTTTTCAAATTGCTTCAGAATGATCCCAACGATCATGTCAGATGTGGAATGGAAATTAAGAAATGTTTACCATATGCAAGGTTTTGTTGTTGTTTTTTTGTATGAATGTGAGGGCCAGCTCTACTCCATTTCTCACTGGAGACATTTATGCAGTCTGTTATTGGAGGCATATTATCATAAGAGATAAAACTGGATTTGTACAATTAACATGATATAGCCAAGAGTATTGCTCATGCATTTGATTGAGATGTTAAGCTCTTTCAAATCCACTGCTCATCTGGTTGTATTTTTCAGCTGTCTGTTGAGATTTAGAAATTAAAAACTTTCTCCCAAAATATATATTTAAAACTTTCAGCAAGATTTGCCTCAGTAAAGAAGTCACCTTTAACTGTCTTTAAATTTAAGATCTTCAGATACTTCCAAAATTTACCCTTGCAAACTCAATTTCATTGTTTTGTTGCTTTTCATATTTCATCAGTTACTGCAATCCAGCAAAATTAAAAGGCCATTAAGAGATCTTCCAATTAAGAACCTGAGCAGCTATGGAAGAAACCACTACAAACACCTTCACTCTTGTACAAAAGCAATCTAGAATGATATGGCAGGGATCTTTTCATTGGGATGGAAATGTGTCCATAGCTCAGTGATGGATGCCTAGCATCTCAAGTTAAAGGATCTCAGGTAGCTGAGTTTCAATCTTCAGTCTCTTGCCATCTATTTCATGACTTAAACATTTTTTCTCATGCCTTCCCATGTAAATGGGAACTTGCCATCATAAAAATTGTAGCTATGTAATGTCATGCCCACTCAACAGGACAGTATCAATCACTGGGAGAACAAAACCAATTAAGATGATACTTTGGAAAGAATATGACAATCTTATTCTGTATACAAACTGTCCTTGTGCATATTGCTGCCTCACTTTAGTGTTACTTTCTCTTGTTTTCCACCTCAATCCAGACCTCTGTTGTGCCTTTGTTGTTTTGAGATGCAAGGAGAGGACACAATGCCAAGTGGTTTCATTCCCTCATTTCCATGTGCAGTTGTGATGTGCAGGAGAGATGGCTCTTGCAGCTAGCCCTCTTTCTTCACGTGGCCAAATTGGCCAAATTTCTTGTGTCCTCACCTCCCTCAGGTTGTCTTAACAAGTGCCAATAGCAATGCTGTCTAAAGCGGGCTTTCCCAGTACTCATGGCATACCTTCAAGTCATCCTGTTGGATGAGATTGTTGACCCATCTAGGCTGCAAACAGTGTTGGTCAGGGAGCATGCCTGAAAGCAACATGTAGAAGTATGAGTGAGACTATTCAGTACATTGACCCATTTCATCAAAAACTGTAGCTAGAATTTCCATGTGTGAGTGCTGATGGTGCAGTTTGCTTTGAAAAGAGCAAAGCTGGCTGTTCTGCAAAAGTATAAAACTTCCACTTGATTTGCACCAGGTTTTGGAGAAATGATCTCCTCAGATCAGGTGTTCTAGGCTGTTGACCATTTTCCTATGTTTCAGTTCTCTATTAAGCATGACCAATTGGGTTCCATCCATTTTTCATGCTTTTGGAAAAAGTAAACCAGTAGATACTGGCTGGCATAACACTGAACAAGTAAATACAGTGCACTGCAGGGAAAAAAAATGTTTTGTTGCCATTTATTGGGATCCGCCTACCTGTTTATCACAAACTTGGTGAGGCCCGGTTGTTCAAAATACTGTGTTCATGCTGCATGGGTCTCTACCGTTGGGCTGTGTTCCAGTCCCAATTACTGTGCTAGCATTCAGTCTGTCTTATTAGTACTTAACTGCATGGCCTGTCATGTATTTGCCCAGTTGGGGCATTTTGTGTGTACAGTTGTTATCACACAGGAGATGCGACTGATAGAGCACTATAATACTTATTATTAATGTTCATATCAGCATGTCAGCAGTGCCTGCTTGCAGACACTACCTTGCAGAAAAGATTCTTAACTAAGATCATGACACAGTAGCCTGCACTTACTCGCCTCTCCCAAGTTGCTACAGTTCTAGAAAAAGCAAATTTAAAACCAAGAAACTCATACCCCACTTCTGGAATATCAGCCTTATTTAACAATATCCATTTAGCACTGGTGGTCAGGTGCTGCTTGCCACCCATGTCATCAAAATGTTGGGCACGATAGGAGGGATGTCATTGTCTTTTATAATCCTTTCAATTAGCTTGACTTTTTGTTGGCACGCCTGTAATGTTCACTGCCTGCCTGCCTGCCTGCCTGCCTGGCCTCTGGCTTCCTAAGCGGGGGGGCAACAGCCAGCTAATGTCCCTTTTCTGCCCAACTATGCTCACTTTCCTTGTTGTGTGAGTGGAAGATACTTAAATGGAATCAATGTTGTGGAGCACTCAGTTGTATTTATGGAATCTTGAGTTTATGGGAGCTTCAGCCTGTACGAGGGGCATTGCCAAATGCTTTCTGCTATTCAATAAGGTTTGTGTACAGAAAATTCCTTTCCTTTCCTTTTGACAGCAATCGCAATCTCTCTGTATGAAAACCCCACTGCTTGTACTAATCCTCTTTTACGGTATCTCGTCTGCTGGGGCACATTGGAGCCAGGCATTTACCAGTAGACCCCTGCTTCTTGATTGTTTAGTCAAAAATTTCCTCCTTTTGAGGGACAAAAGTGGCAAGTTTCCACCTTATGCCTTTGATCCTATAGGATTCCCACTCATGGATTCTAGAAAGCCTTTGTATGCAACCAGTGAAGAGGCAGCAAAGTATCCACATATTGCTGTCTCTTGCAAAGTCACTCATTTACCTTTTCCAGGAATGCTATCTGTTGGGTCCCTGCTCTGATTTGCCCCAGCATGAAGGCTGTAGGGAACTCTGAGCACTCTACATGTGTGATTCTCATATGACTTTTTTACCTATGTATGAAAGATATGAACTAATATTGCTGTAAAGAAAGATACAAATTATTATAGCATATTCTATAAATATATATGTATATAACAGTTCTGTATATTGTGTACCTCAGTGTATGATATTTTGGTACTTCTCTGTTCCTGTAGAGTTGAAAAATGCTTGGGCCTATGTGCTGTAGGTCCAAGTGCATATACAGCTAAATTATTCCCCCCCACCACCACCACCCAAAAAAAAAAGAAAGAGTTATCCATGATGTATCGAACCCACAATCCACCATCCAACATTATCACCAGCAGTGGCCAACCTCAGCATGGAGAAGAAGAGGAAAATAGCATCCAAGTTCTTTATTATCAGAAAAAACAGACCAGTTACTGAGTGTCAAAGAACAGGAGGATGACAAGCAGAACAAAGAAAAAAGGTAACCCTTTGAATATGTAATATAGATGCAAACAAAAACCAGTCCCCCTATCCCATAAATGTAAGATGCTACCCAGCATTAACAGGTAAATATATGGACAGCCTCAATCTATACTCAAGTGATGTTCTTAAATACTATTTCATGGTTTCCAAAAGGTATTTTAAACCCCTTCTTGTCCCCCTGTACAAGCCAAAATGTTCCAGCCCTTTGGATCCCCACAGGAAAGAACTGTATGTGCAGCCACAGATGTTTTTGAAGTTTCATGCCATCCAGTTGCATGGGTGAACAAGCAAGCTGTGTATTAAATTAAAATGTGTTAAGTCATACCAGTAGCTGCCACAGAAAGAACAAACAACATTGCCTGGCCTGGAAGTCCTTAAAACTGTCAACCCATTGCAGTGCAAAACTATCTTTGTCTCTATATCCCTGAGCAGCTAATAGCATGATCCATTGATTTTGGTGGGCACAGATGCACCTAACTGAATAGGAACGAGTCAGGCATAAGATCTGGAAAGGATATTTTCAACTTGCAGGTGTAATGGCAGGTCAGACAGACCATAAACTAAATTATTCATCATACCTTCCAATTAATTAAAAATGTGATTGGCACAAGTTGGTAATGGAACAAATTTTGGTTTTATGGCTCCACAGATTACAACCCAAACCAACAGGTTCTAATTCAAGCAAAGGGATTTCAAGTAAACATTGGGATAAGATCCTGGACAGTACAAGCTCTTTGACAGAGCAACAGACTTCCTCAAAAGATGAACTGTCCTTTGTAAGAAGTTTTCAAAGCAAGGAATGGGCAGCCATCTCAAGGATATTGTAGTGATTAATTCCTGCTTCAGCAGGGATTGCACTAGTGTATTGTATGGATCCTTTCCGGTTCTGGAACCAGGTTTGCATGGTCATGGAGGAAAAATTGGCCATGGGAGCTTAGTTTCCTTTCTCATGTATGCCAGTTGTGAGGCATGGGCTGTCATGACATGGGTTGTCATGACATCTTAAACTGTCAAAGGTGGATGACTGGGATGGATGTAAACCAGGTTTGCATGACAAGCAAGCAGAGAGTAATTTGGTAAATCCTCCTGACTTGCAACCAGCATATGCAGCATAGTTAACAAACCACCACAGCTTGTTTCACTGCCCACTGATTGCATGAACTGTTTCAGAGACCCTCTGATGCCAAAGGCCAACAGAAAGCTGAAAAGAACAGGCATGGAGGTTATAGTATGAGAAAATGATTTAGTGAGTAGACACTTGACCATTACAAGTGATACATTGTGAAAGAAGGAAAAGAAAAAAGTTTTTAAAAGGTAAAAAAAGAGCAAAGACCTATAAAATTGTCTAAGCATGTACTACTATATATAAAATACTCGGTGCACAAGGGTGGTATATTAACCAGTGTATTATCTAAAGGAACTGTACTGCATTGGCTATTTTCATAAGGAATAATGATGAGCCTCTGCTCGGTATAGAATATCAAGGTTATAATCCTGTAAACATTACCTCAGAACAAGACTGTCAAAAATGAATGCAACTGAATTCTGAGTTGACATGTATAGAATTGCCTTGTAAATCGATAAAAACACAGAAATAAGATCTGCAGAGAGAACTGGGGCCAGAACAAGTGAAAGCACACTAATTTACATGATTGAAGAAGTATGAGGACAAGAAGGCTGCTCTACAAATTTTCTAGCAGAACGGATGAGTCAGAAAACCCTGGTGTGATTTAGTACTGCTGACAAGTGAATATGTGTCTTGAAATGGCTGCAAAACATCATATAATCTGTCATGATTAATACATTGAGGCATACTCTGAAAAATGTGTCAAAACTTCCTTCATGTAGTAAGGGACTGGAGTAGGGACTTGGAAGCTTTACATAAATTACTTCCTGTAAGAGCCAGGCAAATGGCATGTACAATGTATATATGAGTTAACCAATTTGATGGAACACATAGAATGGGTGATTTTTCAGAATATTTGTATATGTTTTTGCATTGGTTTCTGCCAGACATAATTTGTGTCACGCTATGGTGGGCATGCACACTCCTGAGGCCTGAAACAGACCTTCAAAGCCTGAAGGACATCCCTTTACCTTCAGGCCTGTGGTAATCATGAAGGAAAAATGACTTGAGTTGCACCTAAAGGAAAGGAAAGGATTAAAAAGAATTAGGCAATACATCTGCCTAATGTCCTGTCAGATTAAATCATTAGCAAACAGTAGATGCTCACCATTTTGGTTTGGGGAGGAAACTGCAAAACTGCATAGACAGTGGAAGAGGAGAAAATGTGGTTACAGATGTAGCCAGTTGGAGAGAACATGGTATTTATCTTACAGTACGCAATTGTTCACTTGGGAAGTATTGAATAAGAAAACTGTAAGGAACATTAATATTAAATGTTTTAAAATTTATAATTGGATACATTTGAAGAAAGACAAAAATCATGTACATGGCAAGCCATAACATCAAAAGCACATTAAAAGATGCTAGTTTAATAAATGAAGGGACACCCAAAATATCGCAGCAGCAAGTAAAACACAGCGAAGCACTCACATTGCAAAACATGTGCATGGCTTCTTCACTGGGTGTGTTGTGCATCTATTACAGCAATGAGCAGAATGTCGAGAGGGCTGTGCCAACAGACAGTAAATTGGGCTGGTTTCCTGTAATGATTAATTCCAGAAAGAGGGTTCACATGTTTTACAAATGAATGGATGATACTAAAGGACAAGTTGTCATGGTAGTTCTGGACATTGCACCTCACAATAATTCTGACCATTATGGTTTCTGTAGCCTCCAGCAGATACATGGTTAAGGGGAATTGAAAAAATGGCCTCTTGAGCCTCAGTCACTTCCTGGATTTTACTGGAAATCAAGTCAATGTTGGGTATCACATAAAATAGAAATAGGCATTTTAATATTTATTTATTTAAAACTTTTGTACTTCATCTGCCACTAAGGTCTCGGGACGGCTCACAATATGTCTATTGCCACGAAACAAAAGAGAAACCATTTCTCTGGATTGCAGGATTTCATGGGGTTTTCATTTGGCTGCCGTAGCCCTGAGATGCACCCAGCCCTGAAATGAGAATATTAGCAGAAGAGCTGTCTGGGCGTCTTGTGTCAGGTACTTCCTTGGCACATTGCTCCTGGCAGCCCCTTGTGCCCTGATTATTAACCTTCAAAAGTTCAAACCAAAGAGCACACTATTTTTTCATTTTGAGTGCACACAAATTGTGCATGACTTCTGGCTCCTCCAAGTCCCTGTTCATGCTATATTTTGTCTGAACTAGAGCATGTAAACAAGACAAATCTTCAACCATCTGCAGTTATACCTGATGTGAGATGCAGACGATATCTATTAAGATAATCAGCAATGAAAGGTAACCGTTATTTTTCTTGAATACAGGAGAATTGTTATGGCAGACTAGCAGACTAATCCTATACATGTCTTCTCAAAAGTAAGTCTTAAGGAATTCAATGCGATAAATGGGTACAGAATTGCAACCTCAAATTGTGCTGTGTTGAAAATTCCTCCCACATTTTCACTTAATTCCATTACAAATACATTGCTTTCAAAAAAGAAATTGAAAAAAGAAAAATTTGTTTGTACAAAATAAGTTTGCACATAACAAGTGTAAAACACACAGTCCCTTTGGCCACCTCATGGTGATTGGGTATGTTCAAAAACACCAAAATAGATTGTAAAATGTTATCAGGATAAGGCAGAAAAATGGAAGCTTCCTGTATGGGAGAATAACAATTTCAGAAAATTGATTCTAGTGCAATGTTAGCTCTATCTCTTCCCACAACTGCACACAGCACAGCCCCTTCACACCCACTACAATGTTTTCGGGGAAAGAGTAGTATCTACATTAGAGAAAAGGTGTATCCTCAATCACCCCTCAGAAATTTAACATTTGGAACAACAGAAATAGTTCTTTCCATGCATTCTCGGAGCTTCACAGAGGGCATTGCTTCACTTCAGGAACAGGTTTCTCCTTCTGGAGAACATGGGTTGCATCAAATGTTGCTTCTTCATGGGAAGATCCACCTTAACCTCAAAAACCAGATTGGCAGAGTAACCGCGCCCCCCCCCCCCCAAACTCTTCAGACTCCCACTGGGAGGAAAAACAGAATTGTGCCAGGGAAGTTATAGCAAGACAAGTTACATAATCACACAATGTGATTATGAGGCACACAAACCAGACTTTGAACAAATTAGGCAGGAAATGGGACCAGGCTTCCCTACCTGCTACCCAACGTGTGGTGGTAGCAGAAGCCATAATCCATCCCTAACTTAGGCTAAACAGAATCAACTACTGAACCCTGAAGTACAGTGTATGGAGCATGTCCCATACGGCTCTCAGAACAGAAATTCATGTGTGGTAAGATCAATATCCATTTTTTCCAGAGACTAATGGTGGGCATTCCTTCACTTCGGGAAATAGTTGAGCAACTAACAGGACAGGTACCAGGGATCAGACCTCCAGGGCACCACTGAAATACTGTACCCAAAAGCCACAGCCACAAATGTGGTGGAATTTATCTTGCAGTGCTTAGTGTAAGTGTGGACTAACAGCCACATCAGTTTCACACATAGCTATGATTTCTAAGTTCTCACTAAAGGCTCACAAAGTAGTCACCCCTTTGAGGAAATTCCTGTGGGCAGA